AAGATAGAACACTTTTGTACCAGCTCAGAACCAGGGCCAGGCGGGTACTAAAAAAGTACCCGGTGCCGTTTAAACAAGTGGAAACGGAGTAGAGCCGAGAAGAGTAGGGCCAAGTAGGGCTGGTGGAAACAGAATTAAAGTTAACTTACTGTCACTATAATTTTGGGCACTAATTACTCAGTCATCTAGATATAATATTTTAATAATAGTAATATTTTACATCGTCTACTCTAGATCAATGGTTCTCAACTAGGAATTTTCAGACCTGCCCTTGCAGTAAAATGAAGTCCATGAAGGAGTTGTTTCTCCTGCTTATTCACATCCACAGGAAGGTCAGTCTGTAGCTTTGTCCTATATTTTTGACTCCCCTTCCGTAACCTCACACTCTGAAGCACCTTTACTCTACTCTACTATCTGGAGCGGCTCGTCCATGATGGTCAGGCACAGCTATCATCTGACATTCAAGCACAATCATCAAGCTCAGTTGTGACCTTTATCGCACGTATACCATGCTATGCCTCACTAATTCTAAAGCATTCACATTAAACAAACAAACAACATCCTATTACAAGCCGATGTGAATTTAATTAGGGTGAATATTACTACTATGATTGGTTTTCCATGAAATTAATGAAAAAGAAATATCCCTCCTTCCCCAAATCCACAAAAACCTAATGTTGCCTGAATTATGATTGGAGAGCGTGTGGATGAGTCTTGTCTACCCCAAGGCAAATATAGCTACAGAAATGGTTGAAATGGGAATTAAAAATACCAAGAAAACTGTTGATTTCACTGGATGCCAATATGTAACTAAACATTATTTTTTTTCAACATTTCAGTTGTAGCTAATAAACGTATATCTTTCCCTCGTAACAATAACGAGATTCTCTCCAGGTGTTTTATAAGAGAGAGCGACTCTTCCCACACACTCCATACATATTTGCCCCCAGGCCAACCAAATCAATATATCATTAGCTAGTTTCAGCACTCACTCACCCCCACCCAGACAAAAAGAAAAACTCACCCCGCCCTATGCCTTCTATACCCACATTTCTCCCATTTTTCTACCACCTCTTTCACCCCATTCAAAACCAGCAGAAGAGACTCAAGTGGCTGCATTTTAAGCGCTGGCAGGTATAGACGCTGTAGATTGAAATATGAAAAGGGGGTTCTTGACTTGGGGGAGGGGTGGCTGAACTGTAGACTGGCTTCTTGCTTGGCTTGTTGTCAGGGTGGAGTGTAATTGCCTCGTGTAGGGCTTGGACCCCTTTTACCAGACTGGTGGCAGAGAAGACATCCTTAATGCTTGAGTTGTTCCATATATAGTACATGGCTGGCTGTTGTTTCGTTGTGAAGGTTGCAACAAGCCCGAGTGTCAAGCAAACGGGAGCAGGTGATGAGAGCTTGACAAGTGACAAGGGATGGGTTGAATTGAGGCTGATGGTTTAGATCGGTTACATTGCATTACGTTAGTTATGATATTAGGGAAAAGGAGGCTGTTACGAGGCTAGTATGTTTATCCTTGCTGCTGCCAGCTTCTATAATGAATACTTTTATGACGGGGTTCTCTCCTGGGTTACACGTTTCAGATTAGAATAATATTTTTCTGATGAATGATTTTATATATATCTAACGTCTGTCTATGTATCTATCTGTATATATATCTATGTATCTCTTTGTCTGTCTATGTATCAATGTATTTATCTCAGATGGGCGTTATGAAAGTTTTTAAGTCTTTTTTCCATTATATTTGGATTATTTACCACTGATGGTTTTATGTATATCTCTAATGTCTCTCAATGTATTCATCTATCTATATATCTATGTATCTCGCTATTGTCTGTTTGTCTATGTATCTATGCATCTATCCATCTATCTTGGATCATATAAGCTTTATAACATGTTTTAATCCAAACTATCATTAATTTTTTTGAGTTGTTTATCAAAATTACGTTTTCCTGAAAAAGTAAACATTTTGTGAAAAGCCCTAAACCTTTACAATCAAGAGATCCATATACTACATGGTTTATCTTGTCTTTTCTTATGGAGTGGTTTGAATTCAACTTCATACTTTTCCCTTATTGATAATCCTTGATCTAAACCTTTAATACATTTTTTCCTTTTGCATTTAAACTTCATTGTCTCTGTGTGTCATTCATACCACCCTCAAGCTCCTAAACAAATTTGGACTTTTGTGAACTAACCCATTAGAGTTTTAAAGATTATAACATAGGTTACAGTAGGTTTTATACTTTCGACCCGAAAATGATTTACCTGGCAACTCAAATAACAAAAGGCTAAATTGCATTATTCTAGTACATAATTTTCATCTTTACTGACATAGGACTGCTTCAACCGCGCCCTGTTATAGCACTCTCTTCAATCATTCTCACTCCAGTCAGATCTATATGACAGAGGGGTGAAGGAAGGGGAGGCCAATTAAAATATAGATCTAGAGTATGCTGAGATGCATTGACAAGAAAAACCATTCAAATACGAGGGAATGAAGAAGAAGGAATGTGCAATACAACTTGATTGCATTTTCTTCAAGCAGGAAATAGACAACTTTGATAACAAACCAAACAGAAGATTCCAATCTCATCATTCACACAAACAGAGAGCAAAGCGGCACCATAGAGCGTTGACACAGGAATATAGATACTGCCAGTTCAAAAGGAAGATCAGATATGCGAGTGCATCATAGGACTACCGCAGAGAAAAGGGGACTGGAAAATCAGGACGGGTGCAGATGGAGGAGTCACCTTGAGCAGAGGAGGGAGTGAGGGACTCGGCGGCACAGCCTGGTTATTTCTTTTCAGGTCATACATGTGCATACAAAGTAGCATTTATAAAGTAGTCGCTACTTTAAGTGATGTGTGGAGGCTATATAGGCCAACAATTTTTCAAACAAACGTCAATATTGCAATCATTAGGAGACACTGCCCTTTGCATAATAAGGATCCAACTTTAAAATGGTAAAATGTATCTGCCAGCAGCACGTAGAAGCTGTGGTCTCCAAGCTGTGTTTAAGTTACAAAAACATTGTTTTCTACTAACTGCTGTTTTTCATTATGACAATGGTTATTCAAATGATCTAACAGTTAACTAAGCCAAACAAAGTCTGTCACTGTTATTATATCTGATGGACATTATTGGTCATTATTCATCTGGTCACCCTGACTTGAGTTATCTACTACTCCAACTCTATATATTTCATGCAGTGGACTAATGTTGTTAAACAAAACATAATTGAAATTTCATATTTGCAGTAAACCCAAGTTAAGACATTATATTCACACAGAACCTACATACAGTTCTCAGAATGCAGCGGTCTCTATAAACCCAGCTGAGGACCGGCACTTTGCCTCTGGGCTGTTCCTGAAGAGGCCTGTATCTGTGCAGTATAGAGTGGTAGAGAAGGAGCCTCATTTTGCTTGGTCTCGTCCTCTTCATTCTTAATATTGAAACATTATATTTGAAAGAGTAAATGCTTCAAATCCTTTAGGCCTGAGGAAGAAATTATGAATTGGATTGTATTTTTGCCTGGGACAGGAGACAACAGATGCTGTATCATGTATGATGATGTAGATGTTTATTATAAAATTATGTTTATTCATGTTTGTATTTGGTCTGTGGCATCTGACTCTGTTGCTCAGTGTCTTATAAGCCCATGTAGCCACTGTATCACTTTGAAGCCATTCCATAACAAAACAGCTGATTACACTGCACAGCAGGAAACTAATGCATTTGATTTGTATCTTTATAAAGCTCTCTTCTATGAACGTTCCATAAATATATGTAATTGTAGCCAATTATGAAATGCAATGGACCAGTCAGTTGAGCTAATGTACCTATTTCGTATAATAAATCTAATATATGTCAGAGGTGAAATTTTATTGCAGGGCAATAGAAAGGAATTGGGATTCATTCAAAATCCCTCAGGGACCCTTCCCTTGGTATTCACGTAGAATCCCTACCACCTGAATGTCTTGTGGGTACTTCTGGCGACTTATATAGTAGTATTTATTTTTTATCATATGAAGATTGTATTAATGCAAGCCTTACATTTATTTTTTTAAATGTATAACCTGTTTGCACCATGATCCAAAGCAAATTCCTAGTTTGTGACTTGTTACTGATAGTGGCAAAAAAATCATTCTGATTCTGATAATAGACTAACAGTGACATCTATTGGTCAGAGGCTATAATAGCAATACAGACATTTTAAGGAGATTCCCTGTAGGCCTTGGGAAGACACAGCAGATTTAATTTAACTGTTTAATGTATTACAAACTTTGCCTGAAGCCCCCGCTGAAATCAAGGCCATACTGTCACTAACAGAGAAGCCATCCTCCTGTGGACTCACCACCTGCAGGAGGATCAGTGAGGGGCTGGTGCTGGGTGGCAGCTCTGATTTCACACAATAAAGATTAAGAGATACTTTATTCCACAGTGGGGACATTTATTTGGGTGTAGAAAATACAAAAAGTAGTAACACATAAATCGTGTGCAGACCAACTGTGAATTGAAACTTACCTATTTCAATGTCAGTGTGTGAAGCGCAAGACATCACAGCTCTGCAATCAGGACATACACATAGAGTTGTTAAATATGAGTCTAATTACGTTAAATGCAGATAGGCTTAATGTTTGAGTTCATTACGAAATAATGCAGCACACAGCTGTAATAGCAACAATATTTTTCGCTGTGTTTTATTAAGTTTTGCTAATTTATTCACCTGGTCTCTTTCTTGACACTTTCTCTCTCTCTCTGGTCACTGTGGTCTCTCTCTGGTCACTCTCTGGACTCTTTCTGGTCACTGGACTCACTCTGGTCTCTGCAACAATCTAAACTGGTCTCTGTTAGTATCTGGAGCACGTGCGCAGGCATCGTACCAATCACGTGCAGAGCGGAAGTCAACATTAGCTGTTAGCCACACTTAGCCAAACTAGCCTCTTCGCCTTCTCCATCCGCATGCAGCACTTTAAAGTTTAAACAACATGGCGACTTGTTGTATAGTTGGCTGTGATAACAAAGTGGAAAGACGTGGGAAAGTTAAATGTTACAATATTCCCACTGCTTGGAGCTCACGGCAGTTTAATGTGAGGCGGCGTAAGCTGTGGCTGGAGGCGATAGAGAGGGCGAACGGGACCACGGAGGGACTGCGGGAGGATGCCGTGGTCTGCAGCGAGCATTTCGTCTCAGGTAAAGCAACAGGGGAGCACATTTTCTGGTTGAAAATGTGTGTTTTTTATGTTTGAAACTATACTATTGTACATGCTGCTAAACACCAAGTGCATATTTTGCTGGAAACATCCAAATAAACGATTGGTCGACTAAACACGATTGATTAGTCCACTAAGAGGGGGCGTGGTAAATGATTATTACAAATCTGACCAAAACTTCACTCACTCAATGCATTGTAATATATAAAATGTATAGTTGCATATAAAATCACTGGGATATGTTGAGGGGTTTTTTTCCAACTTTATTGAACATTTTAACATTAATAGACATACAGCATTCAGTTCTGTAAAAAAGGTGAAAGAGAATACAGACAATACATCCAAATGATATGTTGAGATTTTTGAAACTTTTACTGGATCTTCACCGTGTCCGTCCGTGGGAGCGTATCCCTCTTAGCGTCGCTTGAAATGCCCAAATGTATTTGTCTTCCACAGGGCAAATATCCCTTGATGTATCAGACCGAGATTTTGTCCCATCTGTCTTTCCAAAAGAACACTTGGAAACGTCAAGGCAAGTATATAATCTGTTAATTTGTATTCTATCACTACTTCTTATTATCTGTCCTGCAACATCTGAATGTACATATTGCTGTATATTGAATCTATTACCAACAGAGTCAACCAAGGTTATAACTGTTTAACTAAGACGTTTATTTTACTGGGTATGTTTTCATGTTTTTGTGAAGGACTACAGACCCTGGGGCAGCTATCTTTTTAATGTAACAGCACATTGTCCTGACTCCTGTAATTTGTGTAGAATAGGAATTCAAAATGTCATGTTTAAGACCTTTAAGAGAATTTAATCCTTTCTCATCTCTCAGCTTGTGTTTTCTTGTTTAGAAGACGAACACTGAGACCACGCTCGGGAGGGCTTTCTGAAACCCCCAAAGTGACGCCAAAGAAAAGACCAGTTCGAAGTGCCCGTCTTGAGAACGCAAACCACTCCAACCATGTTTTACCTGAAAACAATTACTGTGAACCTTTGGAGGTATGATATAGTATGTACAGTACAGACCAAAAGTTTGGAAACACAGTCTCATACAAAGAGTTTTTTTATTTTCATGATTATGAAGATTGTAGATTCACACTGAAGGCATCAGAACTATGAATGAACTCATTTGAAACAACTGAAATTATTTCTTAAATCCTCGGTTCTTCAAAGTTGCGCCTTTTGCTCTGATAACTGCTTCATACACTCTTGGCATTCTCTTGATGAGCTTCAAGAGGTAGTGACCTGAAATGGTCTTCCAACAGTCTTGAAGGAGTTCCCAGAGATGCTTAGCACTTGTTGGCCCTTTCGCTTTCACTCTATGGTTCAGCTCACCCCAAAACCATCTGGACTGGGTTCAGGTCTGGTGACTGTGGAGGCCAGGTCATCTGACCCAGCACCCCACCACTCTCCTTATTGGTCAAAAAGCTGTTACACAGCCTGGTGTGAATCTACAGTCAATAGTCATGAAAAGAAAGGAAGCTCATTGAAAGAGAACGTGTGTCCAAACTTTTGGTCTGTACTGTATACTCTGTCACTGTTATAGTATGGATGAACTAGTGCTTGTAATGTCCTTGCTTTTCCATTAAATGGTTTTGTACAAATTTAAAGTTGACAATAATAAATGTCTTATTATTGTATTATTCAAGGGAAATGCCTTAAATATGTCATTCATAATATGCAAATGTGCACTTGATCTATCATCTATCTATTCAATGTATGATTTGATTTCTGCAAAAGGAATTATTTCTCTGCTTGTGTTTTTAGGGTGAGGAGGTATTGGAGGAGGAAGAGGTGACAAGCCAACCGCTGGTGAAGGAAGATGCAACTCTGCCACCTGAAGAAGAGGAGGGAGGAAAAGAAGAGGGAGGAAAAGAAGAGGGAGGAAAAGAAGAGGGAGGAAAAGAAGAGGGAGGAAAAGAAGAGGGAGAAAAAGAAGAGGGAGGAAAAGAAGAGGAAGAAAAAGTGACCACTCAGCCACTCAGTAGTGAAAAAATAAAAGAATTTGTAAACTTGAAAATTGCCAAGTTGGAAATCAAATCCCTGATTGATTCTCTTGGGCGTTTTCAATGCGATGTGTGCGATGGCAAATTCCCCTCTATCTCCGCTCTGGTTAAGCACAAGCGACTACACGAGGAAGAATGGTCTGAGGGAGAAGGGTCTGAGGAAGAATGGTCTGACGGAGAATGGTTTGAGGAAGAAGGGTCTGAGGAAGAAGGGTCTGAGGAAGAGGAGATTGCGCCCACAGTGTCTGAGTTTTTGATTAAGAATGAATACACTGATGAACTACTGTCAGCCCCAGTGTCAGCAAAGGTTGAATTTCAGTGCAACGTATGCCATCGATTCTTCCCCACCACCCAGAGCTTAAAGCGACACAAAATTCTGCACGTTCGAGACCCCAGAAAGTGCAGACAGTGTGGTACGATGTTTTGTAAGAGGCATAACCATGTGATCGAGCACCCGCAGATCTCCACAGAAACTAAGTTCCAAGAAGCTGGAATCGAGGGAGATTCTAGTTCAATGAGTGAAACCGACAGCTCCAGTGACAATATGGATGAGGATTTGAAACTGTTACTACGGTCTGATAGCGCTGCGTTGGAGGCCATAGCAGCACAATCTGAGGCTCCAGCAGAAGTACACAAAGAAGCACCGGCCATTACCTACAGCCCACGCAAACCGGGCCTTTTGACAGCATTCAAGTCCTTTTTAAGCAAAAAACAATTTAAAGTTAAAACGGAGGGTGTAACCAACTGTGCCCAAAATACTGAAGTCATCCAAAGTAATGTTATGACCTCCACTGCTCCTAAAACAACGATTGCTATTACTGCTCCTTCTACTGCTCCTTCTACTGCTCCGGTGAGTCCCCAAAACAATAGAACTGAAGCTCCTTGCCCTGATACCCCTGCTGCTGTTTCTCCTGTTGCAATTTCTACCACCAACATCATAGCCATGCCAGAACAATCCAGTAAGATACATGCTTTGACAACTTCTACAAATGCTTCAACATGTCAACTGGCAAATCGTGTGGTCTATGTGACCCAAAAGCAGAATGTGGGGACTGTTCATCTGGCTTTTGCCCAGCCGCTGGTTCTACAGGAATACATGCCTTGTTTTAGCAAAGCTGACACGGGCAGATCTGCAGCAACACCACAGGTTGTAAAACGGGAAGTCCTGGAGACTAATGAATTGCCTGCTGATCACCGTACTATTTTACTAAAACCCACTCAAATCCAGAAAAACCCGACATTTGTAATCCCCTCTCAGCCAGTAGTGAACCCCAAAAAAGCACGCAGAGTTTTGAAAATAGCAACCTCGAGAAAACATAGCTATTTGCCACAGTTTAAATCCAACGTAATGGTTCCACTACCAAGTCTAAAACCACTCAAGCACCCTTATGAACATGGGTCCCGGCCTCCTTCACCAGAGCCCATCTTAACTAAGGCCATGAAAGGGCCCTGGGATTCACCCGCTCTTAATTACCCCAAAGATTTCATCCAGCCGCACCTGCCCCAGACTCCAGAGCTGCCTCCAGAGCTTAGGATGTTTTCATCACAGCTCCTCACGTCTACATGGCTCGACGTGAAAAGAAACTTTGACTATATTTTGCAAAAGTGAAGCCTTTGTGTGTGTGCGTGTGTGTGTGTTCACCTGTGTGAGCATCTGTTTGTGTGCACGTGTGTCTGTCCACTCTAGTTATTGATGTTTTTATCGCTTTTCTACATGCAGGCCTCCATCTTTTAATAGTTTACTGTTCATTTCACTGGTCCAAACATAATTTGTGTTTAACAAGGTGAGTCAATGTAATAATATTACAATCATTTTCCACAAATGTTACTCTTCTTTGACATGTTTAAAATAAATACTTTTTATATTTGGTAAATACTGGTGTGTTTGTAGTTTCTTAACATTTGCTTTTAAGCAAAGGCTTTTGTAAGTGAAAGATTTTAAATGAAATCAAATGTTTAGTTTTTTGCTGGTGGTTCAGACAACTGCATCATTGCAGCGGCTCAACCTCTTCCTCCTGCATCACAGCACAGCTCTGCTCCAGCTGCACGCTGTACACGTACTATTGGTCTCTTGCTGCTGAGAGACAGTAAGCGATTGGCCGAAGCATACGTCACTCTCGCTAGAGACACATTTCATTGGCTGGTAGCTCAGTGCAGATGAACGTGATTGGTCAGCGCTTTTACGCATGGTGCCTTGGCTGACTGGCGAGTGGTGCTGATGCTGCTGTGACTATGGGAGGCATCAAGAAAAGCATCATCTGGACCGAGTGCGCGTAAACCCGAAGTTCCGACTCGACACCGGGAGGATCCGGACCAGGAGTCCGAGTGAAGAGCCAGAGCTGACCCGCGGTGACGGTGAGTCCGTCCTCTGAAAGCACCGCGCTCGAGGCGCCTCTGACATGGGGGGCTGGGAGAGGGTCTGCAAATCTGGTTCAATCACCAGGGGTACAGCGAACATTGCGAATTACATACTTTACTTTGAAAGTGATGTGTGGTTTTTGAATAATAAATTATGGCTAAACTTCTTCAGAAATACATTGACAACGCAGTGCAGAGTGTAGACACTGGAATAAGATTTTCTATGACTACACTGTAATACTAGCTCGATACTAGATAATTAGGAAATGGTTAATGATAAACATTGACCTGATTTCTTATGAATATACGAACAAGGGTAGCGTGGGACTTGCTTCTGAATTCTGCTGAGTATTACTCAAATCGTATATACCTAGGGAATAAACACAAATAGGCTTTTTTTGAATGTGCATTATCTGCTTTTTCATCTTCTGTTTTGAGCATATTTGCTAATTTTAACTGCCCTTGTGCTGTTTGAATCCAGAGATGGGGGTTTTCAGTCGACAGAAGTTTTTTGAGGAGCTTGCTCAGGGCTGCCTGCTGCCCACAGCTCAGCAGGGCCTGGAGCAGGTTTGGCAGCTGCTGCTGATGTGCTTACTGTGTCGCCTCCTCTGGATGCTGGGTATAGAGTCTTATTTTACATATGTTTTTGACCTTCTTGCGGTCTTTTAACCTTTGTGCTTTCTTTTGTGTGGTGCAGGACTCCCCTCCTTCATCAAACACCTGAGTACAGTGGCGGCAGGCTTCTACACACTCTACTTGTTCTTTGAGCTGCATATGATCTGGGTGGTGCTGCTCAGCCTCCTCTGCTACCTCTTCTTATTTTTGTGCCGACACTCGACTATGAGAGGCACGTTTCTATCCATCACTGTGCTTATCTACCTTCTACTGGGGTAAGGAAGCAGAGATGGAAGTAAGCTGAGCAGGCTCCACTGCCCTTAGCATCTCTGACCATGCTTTTCTATCGTTTTCATCTCTTAGGGAGCTCCACATGATGGATGCAACCAATTGGCACAAAATGAGAGGTACACGACGAGAATCCATTCTATAATATTTGTTTCACACAAAGCTTGGAGCACTGTGCAGACATTGTAAGATAATGGCTTCTCTTCTAGGTTCACAGATGGTGGTTGCCATGAAAGCGATTTCTCTCGCCTTTGATTTGGACAGAGGTGTTGTTGCTAGTGTCCCATCACCAATTGAGTTCATGGGTTACATTTACTTTGTGGGGACTATTGTGTTTGGTCCCTGGATCAGCTTCAATAGCTACAAAGAAACTTTGGAGGGCCGTAAGCTGGTGAGTGTGTGTTTTTTTGCTCTGATATCTTCTACACACTATTTGATTAATTTCATATTCTTTGCCTCAGAGTTTATCATGGCTTTTCAAAGCGTTGTTCAGCTGGGTGAGGAGCCAAATGTGTCTTTGTGTTTCCAACTGTGTGGCTCCGTACCTCTTCCCTTATTTCATACCCGTGTTTGGAGACAAACTACTGCGGAGGTGACAGCTTTTCTTCTCTTAAGAAGATGGTGTGTGTGTTACTTTTATCTCAGTCTTGTCTAAAATCATCTTCACTGCTTCATTTACAGCAAAAAGAGGAGAAAAATACGGTAATTATTATACAGACCAATTCAATGTATTTACCCCAACTAAAAATGTTTCCTTCTGACCCGCACCTCAGAGGAACAGTGACCAAGTAAGTGTCCGTATTTGCCAATATGTCAAAAATAAAATTATTGCTGCTATGGTTCTCAAAGCGCTTTTTAGATTTAGCGTGTGTATGACTGTTCCCTGTGGGGTCTCTTTGGGCTGTTTTTTTTTTCCACGAACCTAAAGCACTCATGAATCCAGTTTGATGGATGTTAGCCTGAATAATTGCCTCTTGTTTAGGTGGCTTCTGGCCTACGAGAACACACTGTCCTTCCACTTCAGCAACTACTTTGTGGGATACTTGAGCGAAACGACTGCTACACTCGCAGGAGCAGGTTTTACAGAAGAAAAGGAACATTTGAAATGGTCAGTAAATGTATTCATCGCAAAAACTATGTTTTGATTAATATCCAAACAATATGTATATATATGTATATATACATTATATACATATATACATATATATATATATATATATATATATATATATATATATATATATATATATATATATATATATATATTTTTTTTTAAACATTTTGTACAAAGGGATCTGGCCGTATCCAAACCTTTGAACATTGAGTTTCCTCGATCAACTGTAGAAGTGGTTACCTCATGGAACACACCACTGTCCAGCTTTCTGCACACCTGTAAGTAACCTCTACACACACTGAATGATAATGGTGATGATAATGTTTATGGTCAAGTTAATATGTGTCTCCAGATGACAGGTCACATCTACAAATCATATTTGACCTTTTCTGAAAAAACCTTTTAACTGTTAAGTTAATTAAAAACACAATGGACATGATTTGTTTAGGATTTTAAAGATGATTATCCAACCAGATTAAAAAACAAAATTTCCCCTTTCTTACTTAAAAAAATAAATAAAAATGAAATTTAGATGAATGCAGATATAACAAAATAAGTTCTACATAATTCATAAGTGCTTAGGGGCTACATGTGTCACATCACAGGCAGCAATAATCTGGAAACAACAATTGTAATTGAAATGACTTTGTTTGATCACTAAGAGTGAATATGTAATTTTTTCATATTTTTGATCCCATTTCTTCTTAATACTCCAAAAAACCCTTACCTTTGAACTGAACTGAATATTAACATATACATATAATTTCCTTACACGTTATAATAGTCTAATATTCTATTTTGTAATGCTTAAAATATTTCATTCACAGATGTTTTTAAAAGCGCTCTTAAGTTTGGAACCTTTACCGCAGTCATGATAACATACACTGCGTGTGCACTCTTACATGTGAGTCTTTACTGAAACGATTACTCTGTTACTATGTGAAACCCTGTGCACAGTTGTTTCTATAATGCATTTCATTTCAGGGCTTGAGTTTTCATCTTTGTGCTGTTCTAATATCTCTGGGTTTCATTACATACGTTGAACATGGTGAGAGTGTGATTCCAAAGCAATATTTCCTATTCACGTCCCAATAGTTGTATAATTATTGTATTGTTATGCGGCATCTTTTCTAGTATTACGGAAAAAACTGGGAGATGTGCTAAATGCTTGTATATTGTCAAAGAAGTGCCAACCAAACTGCCCACACAAGAATAAAAATGTAGGTGTTTTCTCTTCTTTTTATCAGTTCACAATCACTTATTAGCAGCTCTTAGATCACAGCAGAAATATAGGACTGATGTTTGTTGTGTCCGCAGAGCCTCTGGGTGCATGTGATAAACGTGACTTTCAGTGCTTTGGCCGTTCTTCACATGACGTACCTGGGCTCGGTCTTCAACTCCAGTGTGGACTTCACGGAAGAGGAGGAAGAGGTACACTTTTAACATGTTTTAAATAGTTATCATTGAGTCATCCGTGTCAGTCTTAAAGCTGGGGCACCCAAATTTCAAACAACAATTAATTAAACTTTTTAATATAGTCAGAAACGGTTTGCTTCTGTCACTATTTTTCATATCTCATATATATTTTGGCCTTTTTTAGACAGAAAATCACATTTTCAAAAGAGAGGACCACCCTCACTTAGCCTCACTTAGCTCTCAGCCCAAATTGTCAAAATTGTGTCTTTCTTACGGGCGGCACGGTGACGGTGGCTGAGTGGATAGCACTCTCGCCTCTCAGCAAGAAGGTCCTGGGTTCGAATCCCGGTCGGACCAGGGCCTTTCTGAGTGGAGTGCATGTTCTCCCCGTGTCTGCGTAGGTTTCCTCCGGGTACTCCGGTTTCCTCCGGGTACTCCGGTTTCCCCTACCACTAAAAATATGTCCAATAGTTCTGGCATGCGCCTCCTGTACTGGTGACCCTGCTCCCATCTCTGTGTGGAGTGAAAGACAAATGCCCAAAAAAATTAACAATTGTAAACCGCTTTGAGACTCAGATCTGTAGTGAAAAGGCGGTATATAAATAAAAACTTACTTACTTACTTACTTACCAGTATGTAAAACAAAACCTGTTTTCTAATGAGATTAAGACGGCATGCTAACATACCAGGACTTTTACTTTGACTCTATGGACAAACAAAACAAAAATGTTCAGTACACCCCAGATTATACTTAATTATTTTATTTTTTTATTTTTAACTATGATGTAATAGTTATTGTTAGTCAAAATAGGCAGAAAATAAATAAATAATTGGAATAGGGAGAGGGAGACTGGGAGAACAGACGGGTCGGTTAATTCTAACCTAACTTGAACATTATGTTATTACTTCCATACATGTTTTTGTAATACTACACAAATACAATGTATTTAAAGACAGAATGCAATAATTGATTAATTAAACATTTGAATAGTTCCCTTAGAGTAATCTTTTAATTTAATCTTTCCCAAGTTGTTTTTACGAAAGAAGCCTTCAATTCTACCGCACAGTCTTCATCCACACTCTGGCCTTACCCGCACATCAGAGCACTGTCATGAATAAACCACGACATTAGCACAAATTAGGCCTGAAAAGTGCACCATACTTCCTGCTTTAAATAAATAAAAAGGCAGATAAATGTTGTTTCTACAGGAGTGCATTAGTCATCGCACATTCCCCAAAGCTCGAACATATGCAGCCAGTAGTAATGATCACATATGGACTTGTACAGTATCTCACATATCCCAACGGCTTATGCCCATATAAGGAGTGTTTATTCCCCGGAGGTTACAGTCATTTCTTCATGTTTAAGAGTCAGCCATTATGAGATCAACACGCATACATCGTTTATTTCCTATAACCTTTACAATTTGAAGTTTAGTTGTTTGTAGTATTTAATTGTTTTCATATATTATTCATCACTTCTAAAAAGTATAGCTATTATGTGAACGTGTTTTATTCTGGGTTCACTTGTATCGTCATTTACCGCCCTCTACAGGACGACATCACCCATCACACCATCCAGCGCTGGTCTGGACTGAGCTGGACAAGCCACTGGTTGACATTTGGGTGCTGGACTTTGTATCGCATCATTCTGTAAAGGTGAACTGGACACATTTGAAGAAAAAAAGCAATAATAAGGATAGCTCTCCATTGTGACCAGGAGAGCACATCGAGAAACTAGTACACAAGCAGGACGTTATAGTTGTGGACGCGGATTTTGGATGAATTGACTACCTGCGTCACAGTTTTTTTCTTTTTACACCCTTTTGTGTCAGTTCTCAAGCCTCATGTCGTGACAGCAGTTACCAGTGTCTCTCTGTGAGTCAGAATCAATAGCAGTCAGCATGGAGGCGAACCGCTATAGACTCGAGATCATTATCAAGCTGAAGTTTGTGCATGAGAGAAGTTTACACTGGAGAGATTAGAGCACAATAAACTGTGGTTTTCTTTTCCATCAATAGTTGTGATAGTTTGAAGTAGAAACATGTTTTAGAATCTTGGGACTGAGTGTTGTATTTCTTTAGTTTTTTTGTATATACTTTGAATTGACACATGATAACAACAATAACCAACCTACGTTTATTTATTTCACATGCTGCTTGAATGATATCACATTATCAAAAAGAGAAAAAAAAGACCACTGATTTGAAATTCTGATACAAAAGCTGTGATTGTAAATGTTTTATTAGAGGATTAGTGGTTGCCACTACAGATTTGTCTAAATCTATTTTCTGACCAATTCTGATGTTTGTCTTTTCCCTATACATGTGAATGCACTGACACTCTTGAAATATTTTTATAAAGTTTTACAACAAACCCATTCTAAATGTTTGTGCCTATTAGCCTTTTATATCCATATGAGAAAATACACAGACTGTTGTTGCCGTAATAAATAGTTTATTCAGTTATTTACATGAGTGCGACTGTCACATCGTCATTTCGGAGTGAGTAGGAGGACTGCATTAGAACAGACTAATTAATGATGGTAAATCTGGAGTCTGCTTCAAAGCATCAGCCAGCGGGGACAGTGAGGGGACAGAGGAGACGACAGATGTGATAGATGAGGATCAGGCTACTTCATGCCTCTAAGAGGCGAGCAGATGCTGTTATAGACCTCACAATGGGCCGGTGTACAGGCGGATGGCAGCAGTGCATGTGAAAGGGAGCGAGCTCTCAGCCCTGTCGGCCCCGAGGACCTCCATGTTTACGACGGCAGGACCCCAGCAGAGTCTCCAAAGCCATTTTCACGAACGCTTGGAAGTTATTGCTTCTCTCCCTTCGGCTGTCCTGCGAAGGGATGACACACAGACAGATAGCTTCACTGGCAACCACAGCACTCCATGCACCTTTTGCCTTGAGCTGACATCTATGAACTATAAGATGCCAGATAAATGTTAATTCTTTAGTCCATATAAATGCTTACCTCCTTGCTTCTTGCTATCATCTCCTTTCTGATCAGCTTTCTTCGGCTGCTCTTTAGGACTCTGAGGTGGCTGGCAACATAATAATATTGGGTCAATAAGGACCACAAATTGTAACCAAATAATGACGAATTCTTATGTGAATAAAAAAATGCCCTACCTTGGTAGTTGACTTCTTGTCCGACTTATTACCTGTGTCAAGGGACATTAATTTACTGATGTGTCTCCAATAAACTTATCAAATATTTGTTACTTTTTCCTGGACTTACCTTTTGTTCCTGGCATTTTGGCTGTACTCCAGAGTCTGTGCTCTTTTCAAATGCAGTGCTATGTGTGGTGTTCACCTCGGCCATTTATGGCCCATGCTTGTGAATGGGTCTGACACAGGGGCCTCTTCCAGAAAGAGGAACGTGAAAAAGCAAAGAGCCCTGTCAGCTGAGCAGCACGTCCCACAACCCGGCAGGTCTTTGCTGAGGCAGGCGAAAGCTCTCAGCTGACCTTGTAATACTGCCATTGTGAACCTACTGTGTGCACACCTATTGTCTCTGATAAGAATGGTTCTTCATCAGGGAATGGGTTTAAAGTAATACGCATTATTTATGTACTGTACGCTATACATTTCATATAAAAATTACCAACATAGTATTACTACAGAATGAAAACTATTATAATAATTATATATTAACGTTGTTATTATTGAAAACAATGCGGTCACTTCCTGGTCATGTGACCTGTCAACAGAAGCAGCGATGGAGAGAAGCTAAGGAAGGTGAGCGATGGAAGGATGTGTTCCTTTGGTTTTATTACAATCACAGTCACCTAAACAATTAAGGAGACACGGGAATGAACGAACAGCTCCACATATCTGAGCGAATGGTCAATTCTACAAAGCAAGCGCTATAGCATAATGCTAACAACATTCTTTTTGCTAGCTCACCGCTAGCTTCGCTAGGCTAAGACATTTATAAAGTTGTTACCCCTCAAGTAGCATGGTGACAGACTAACAAAATGTGACATGGGCATACATGTAAAGTAGGGCTGTATATAAAGCCCAGTATAAAGGCATGTGTGCTGTACAGACATGATTCTAGGCTCACAGAGAGGAGTTGTCATTCATCTGGGTGTGATCCTGGTTATTTGAATGTTAAAGAGGATGGGTTCAAACTCAAGACTCGAGTGTATTTACCTAGAGATGTATTATTTAAGCTGTTATTGAATTTACAGTGTCCATACGCATGTGCTTTAATCATACATTGACAATACTTTCTTTTTTCAGTAATTCCAGTGGGCTTGTGTAATGGCAGCAGTTTGGCAGCAGGTTTTGGCACTGGATGCAAGGTAAGGCACAGTTTTCTAAATAAAAGGAGTCTGTGGTAATGTGCTGTTGACTTTTACTTTAGTAAACATTATGTTTTGATTATTCTTTTGTAGGTACAATGCATATCGCACACCTACCTTCCCCCAGTTTCGTACTCAGTACATCCGCAGACGCAGCCAGCTGCTCAGAGAGAATGCAAAGTGTGGCTTTGAACCCAGTCTGCGCAGACAGTACCTGAGGCTGCGCAGTCAGCTGTTGGCCCTGCGCTACGGGCCTCTGTCTGAGCAGAGCAGCTTTAGGGCCAGCAGTGTGCGCAGCTCCCGCACCACTCTGGATCGCATGGAGGTCAGAGCCGGTCACACAGTAAAACTGATGGTGTTGGGGAAAATCTTGTTTTTATATTATGTGGTTTGGAATGTTAAAATCCTAAACCTATATTAAAATAGTAGTCAAATCTGTATCTATTGCATCAACCTGAGGACATTTTGCCCAGTGGCTGTGAAGCTCAGTGAATCTTGCAATTGGTACAACCGGAATTCCGGCACATCACCAAAGTAGATGAGCTCCTGAATCCAGGACACTTTTCATACAGAAACCTGGCTTCCCATAAACATTTCCCTACATTTTTCTTACTTAATTTTATTTATTTATTTCTGTTATTGATTTTAGTAGTCCTCTATCCCCCATACAGTTTCAGGGCTCCACCTTTTGTCTGTTTCACATACATTTTCTGAAAAAACTCTGGCAGGATTTTGAAGAAGACCCTCGAGCTCAAGGGGCCCGTGGTCATCGTCGATCTGTCAGCAGAGGCTCATACCAGCTACAAGCACAGATGAATCGAGCGGTCTATGATGAGAGGTACACATAAGGAAAGATAGATATTGTTGAATTTAAATATATTGTGCCCATGCCTTTCCATTGTTTCCATGGTAATTGTTTTTGCTTTTGGAAGACCCCCGGGCAGTCTAGTACCCACATCTGTAGCAGAGGCCAGCAGAGCCATGGCAGGGGACACAACTCTAAGTGAAAACTATGCCTTTGCTGGAATGTATCACATATTTGACCAACATGTGGACTCTGCTGGTGAGTGACAAACTGTTGTGTATGTGTATGAAAAATAAAATGTGTATGAAAAATAAAATTAGCTGAAGATAACGTGTTTTGAAAATGTCTTTCAGTTCCTCGAATACAGTTTGCCAATGATGACAAGCATCTCCTTGCTTGCTGCTCGCTGGATGGCAACTTGTCTATTATGACGCTGTCTCCATCTCCTCCCAGCGTCAAGGTGACTCTGAAAGGTCACGGGGGTCCGGTCACAGACTTTGCTTGGTCCCTAAGCAATGATGTCATTGTTTCCACATCCCTTGATGGCACTCTGCGCATCTGGAACACAGAGGATGGGCGCTGCATCCGAGAGGTCAGAGATCCTGAGTCCAGTGAGCTGCTCTGCTGCACCTTCCAGCCCATGAATAATAACCTGACTGTGGTACGTCAAACATGTTTAAACGGCAACAAATCTTACTTCCATTTCATCACATTTTGGTTGAGACACTTCGATACATATTTATGTAGGAATGTACAAAATACAAAATAACACATTTGACATCGCACAAAGCTTTTATATTAGGCTATTTCTGTAAAATAATCATTGCTTATTATGACTTTATGATTACTCCACATTGTCTTTTCAGTATATGTACTATTTACTGTCCTCTTTTTCCTCCCACAACCTTAAAGCCTCATAGATCGTTGTGCATTGCAGGTGGGAAACAGCAAGCACCACCTGCAGGTGGTGAACATCTCCACAGGGAAGAAGGTGAAGGGGGGCTCAAGCAAGCTGACAGGCCGCGTGCTGTCTGTCTCCTTTGATGCTCCGGGGAAAATCCTGTGGGCGGGCGACGACAGGGGAAGCATCTTCTCCTTTCTCTTTGACATGGCCACAGGTTGAGTCACTGTTTTTATTTGGCAGTGGGCACACTGCAGCTGAATATAAAACTACCCTTGAATGTAGTGTCTCTGGTGGAGGGGCTAACAGTGAATGTGTGTGGGCCTGTTTGTGCCTTTACCCCACAGGGAAACTGACCAAAGCCAAGCGCCTGGTGGTGAGCGAGGGCAGCTCCATCTGCAGTATCTCTGCTCGCTCTTGGATTAGCCGTGAGGCCAGAGACCCCTCCCTGCTGGTCAACGCCTGTGTCAATAAGCTACTGTTGTACAGGTCAGCCACCAGTCCCTCCAGTTTTCTTTGCTACAAAAGGTTGTTATAAAGGTAAAGATTGTTCTCATGTGTTGTATTATTTATCATTGCAGGGTAGTGGACAATGAAGGAGCACTGCAGCTGAAGAGAAGCTTTCCTATTAAACACGGCTCACAGCTTGTTCATAGCATTTTTTGCCCCTTAATGTCTTTTAGACAGGGGGCCTGTGTGGGTAAGAAGTATTTTATTTCTAGTTTTTAGAAAGCTTCTGGGAATTCAATTATGACTTTCCTGAAGCTTGATTAGTAAAACACTTTTAAAGTGGTCATGATGATCATCTAAGACCCCTGTGGCTCTTTATCAAGCATATGGTTCATGTGAAATGGTTAGATTGAGCTGAAACGTTGTTAAAGAAGAATCGAGTCGCATAGTTCCTCCTTGAGTCCTCTTGTGCCACAAGTGTCAGTGAAACATCTCCACAGACAAATTCAACGCTATCATATGATATGGATGATTTGAGGCTTCCACATATCATTCAGAAAAGGAAAATTGTTAAGAATGTAAGAAAAACCCAGAGAAGGGGTGAGGTTCTGGTAGTCAGAGGACCTAGGGGAGAGCAACAGTGGAACACATATGAAGATATAAACAACTCAAACATGCATGAATCGAGCTGAATTGAGTGTGTAAACAACAAGGGCAAACAACTTAACACAAAGGTGTCAAACTGGTCCCAGAAAGGGCCGGTGTGGCTGCAGGTTTTCATTCCAACCAAGCAGGAGCACACAAGACTCCAGAAATTCCCTTGTTCAGACTGGACTCACTTGAGGAAATGGGTAGAGTCTGGTGTGCTCCTGCTTGGTTGGAATGAAAACCTGCAGCCACACTGGCCCTTTGAGGACCGGTTTGACACCCCTGAATAAATGGCCAGAAGCTGAATAGGTTGTGTACCCTTAAAGGTTTGAATAGACTTTGAGCAGGTGTTTTTCTGCCACCAAGGTGTGATTTGACTTTAATCAAACTCTCCTTGTGTGACTTTACTCGGCCCTGGTTCCCTGCAGAGATGTGCTCTCCATGTGTCAACGTGATTCACTGTGTTATGTCATGTTAAACCCGATAAACATGGCTGCCATGTATAATGAATGTATAAAGACCGAGCGAAGACCAGGAAAATCATCCTGTGGTTGTTTGACTAATGTTTGAATATTTTATTTAGAGCAGTATGATACATTGAATCCTTAGCTTCTGTGGTCAGGATCAGTGGCGGATTATTTATACATCATTATTCTTTAATAATAGTGTCAATTTCAGCTCTCTACATTTAGCTGTCCATTCATAGAAGACCTGTAGCTCAGAAACTAAATTAATATAAATGTATATAAGTACTAGTACTTATGATTCTGAAATCCAATGGCGGTGCAGTTGGGTTCACTTCCACTTCCAGACGGGACCATTTTGTGTGGCGTTTGCATGTTCTCCTTGTGTCTGCATAGGTTTCCTCCGGGTGCTCCAGTTTCCCCTACCACTAAAAACGCACAGTAGCTTTGAATGTAATGAGTTATTGAACGGATGGCGATGGTCAGAGACTTCGATGTTCACCGTCTCGTGCTATATAAATACATATTATACAGCGTACGATTACTTCACACGTCTTTATGTTGAGGAAAAACTGTTGGATTCAGAGAAGATTTCATTTCCTCACAAATGAAATCCCTCTCCACAGTGACTGGCGGCGAGGACGGCTGTGTCTACTTCTTCGACGTGGAGCGGAACACTAAAGCGATCGTGAACAAGCTGCAGGGCCACGGAGGACCCGTTCTGGACGTGAGCTTCAACTGTGACGAGAGCTTACTGGCCTCTGCCGACTCCACCGGCATGGTCATCATCTGGAGGCGGGAGCAGAAGTAACTGACGCACCTTTAGTAATCCGCCGCTGCTAGGTAACCGCCCAATGATTTGAGTTGAGGCAATGGTGTAGAAGTTGTCGATGTCATAGTTACAGATGAATTCAATGTTTTAGAAAGACATTAAAAAGCTGCAATCATTTAAACTTTTCATCTTATGGATAAATGGCTGTTTTCAACTGACCACATACTCAAAGGGCTGGCTTGACTGCAGGTTTTCATTCCAACCAAGCAGGAGTACACCAGACTCCATCCTTTTTCCTCCAGTGAGTCTAGTCTTACACTCTGGTGGGCTCCAACTTGGTTGGAATGAAATCCTGCAGGCTGACACCCCTGGTATGATTTTGAATGCTATTGCAAGAAAAGGATTATGGTCATGTATTTTTGCAAAGATAGATGTTTATGTTGCGTGGACAGGGTCAGTTAAAAACCCCATTTCATACGAACCACATCAATGATTGTATATTTTGACAATTAAAATGTTACCGTCTGAATTCACTGGGCGGGGCGGCAGGGGACTATCTATTCGTTATGGCGACATGGCGTTGGGTGACACTCAACATATAGCAAGAAATCGCTGCTTTGTGTAATGCCATAATCCTGTGCATCGTAGCTTTGTGGTGAAGGGAAAAATTGTTTTAGTGAGATCCTATGCATGACTTTTGACTGAAATTATCCTAAATAAGTTAATATGAAATCTTACGAAAAAAGCCTGTCCTTCTAACACTACTGCACTAATGCTCGGATCTCTTTCACTATATTTATATAACTGTTATTTATGCGTGTTTCTGGAGTCCAGTGATGGCCTTATTTTATTTGTCCTGCTTGCCTGTGTGTTAAAAACGTGTGCATGGCCGACCGTATCGGAGCAGAAACCATTCCAGTTGTGAATGAAAGAAGGGTTGTGTAGAGTTCGAGATGTAGCTTTTACATGTGCGCGTTTGGTTCATGTTGTCGTCACTGAAGCATAATTTATTTGATGCACATTTAAAATAAACTACTGTCTCTTTGATTTCCTTGTGTTTTGTACATATTACACACGCGCACACACACACACACACACATGAAACAACCTGGACATGACCACAAAATACCAAACCAACTCCTTGTACCAACATGCAGCAGATGCTAAATGTTGGTTGGTTTGTTTTTGTAACTTCTAACTGACTTTTTTTAAATGAAAATCCAGAAAATAATTAATCCCCTATTCACTCCCGCCACAAGAACAGTTTCTTCCCCTCTGCTGTTGGACTCTTGAACACTTCTTAACCTGTCCCCCCGCCCTTTATAAAGTCACTTTACTGCCCATCATACGTCACTTTACTTCACTGTACTGCTGTCACCTTACATTGTGTGCACCATGTGCACTTGTATATTGTAAATAGTAACTGTAACTCTATTTTAAATTTAAATTTATTCTTTAGAAGTGTTTTTTATTCTTATTTTTATTATCTCTTTTTGACTGTTGCACTGAGCCAAAGCAATTTCCTAGTCTGTGACCTCCTGTTACTTACGTGGCAATAAAAATGATTCTGATTCTGATCTATCCATCTTTTTCAATCCAGAACACCCTGGAAACGTTATCTAAAAGCGGTACACTTCTCTAAAACTACATGTTATTGTGCCAGTTTGCTAGATACAGAAACAGCCCAACGTATGACACAAAATATTGAATTTATTATTTTTTTCTGGTATTGTCCCCACAATCAGTGTGTATTATGCAGTCGAAGTGGTCTAAAAAGTCGTTATAACTACAATCCACCTTTTAGTTGCCAGACTTTTCCAGCCTTAGACACACGTTGCTCCTAAACACTCAGGAGGAATCCTGTTGGAGTTTAGCTAGAAATGTTACAAACTCTATGCTTTACACTACAAGCAATGATAAAATATGAGGCAATAAATGCATAAATCAAGCGTGTTTCATCTTCGAGGTACATAGGAGGATTTTCTAGTTCCGGTGGATCATCAAGACTATTGGTCCTCCCTATTGTCAATCCTACGTGCTCGTCAAATAAGACCAAAGAGTTTTTTTCAAAAAGTGAAGAGGGCGGTTCTTTCCTAAATTTCTAAAAATCTAATTTTCCAATGGGTGAAAACCATTTAAGAACTGCATTTTTTTCTCATTCCAATGAAGACATTTCTTGTATGTTTTCAAAACAAGATCATTTTGTTTCATGGCAGTCAAAATCTGCTCAAATCTCTGATACATTTTTTGACTTAATTTTTAATCACTTTTTGCAGTGTACGTTCAATCAACCACTTATTTTTGTTCCGTCTTTCATTCAAACCAATGTGTTTCAATGAAAGGGTTTTTATTTGTTTGTGGGGAAAAAAGATGGAGCCAAGACCAGCCAAATTTCACCTAACAAACTGGCAACTCAAATGAGAACTTAATTCCTCTCTCTGATTGAATAATCTGTTTAAAAATACGTAAACATTATGCACATCATGTTCATTGTATTTTTAATTAGGATTTAACTTATCTGGCAACACGTATAAAAGACATCGATGTAATTTAAAGTAAAAGTAATACATACTGCCCCTTTAACGCTTTTAGATTGTTTTACATAGTAGATCGAGAAAGTGGTGCCATTATCGACTTGTAACGATTGTGACGTTGGTTCATTACCCATAAACTACATCAACAAATGGGGATTATCGTTGCAAATTCTACCATAGATTTTCTTGAATGTCAGGTTACGTAAACTCATCTTATTTATTTACACGCCAAATGCAACAACGGCAGCTACACATAAATAAAACCAAATCAACATGTTTACCGAGAATGTCGCAGCCCACCAGGGTTTCTTCAGTTGGAAAGTTGGCTCAAGATTAGCAACATAAAATAGGTAAAATATCGGGCTGAGCCAATGCAATTCTTGGATGCGGTAGAATATCGGACATAATTGAAATGTTGGATTGGGTTGGATCCTGGCTTTCAGAGACTAGGACGTTCTGGATTCATATCAACCTGAAAATAGTTTAAACTTTATTCATACAACATTGTTCTGTGATTTCTCGCTGGATGAAAAACCGTACACACAATTCATCTATCATAAAGAGATGCTCAATTGCTGCATCTCTTGTGAAATATTCTCTCAAAATGGGGGACTAACAACACAAAATGGGTTTGTCTTTTAAGCAGGGAATGTACCGCCACAAAGTGCATGCTAAAAATCACATTAGCCCCAGTTAATGTTGTTAGATGCGTAATTATCTTCCATAGATTTGAACGAGGCTGAAAGAGAATGTTGTTAATGCCCATAATGGCTGTAAACAAAAACCATTACATTTGCAATTTACCGGTAATCAATCTGGTTGCAACAGTTGTATTTGTTTTTACCCACACTTAGTTCTACCGTATTCCATAGTCTGTAGTCTGTGTAATGACAATTGTTGAGTCTCTTCAGTCTGTTTACCTTCACCAAATTCAACCTTGTCATTGCAATGTTTCGCAATGTCTCAGCCCCTAAGCCAGTCATAGCTCCTAATGAGACTCCATATGGTTGTCAGCTTCTGCCTATAATGCATCATGTCCCTCCAGCCCCAGCAGACAGGACATTTGCTCTGTACATATGTCTACCCTCAAACTATCAAGAACAACTATTTTGCAAATATACTTCCTTCTGGTATATGCAGACAAATATGGCTTAGTCCTACATGTGTTTACTCTCTCTTATAGCCACTTTCAATAATTTCTCGGCCGATTATTCTTTCTTTCTTAAAACATTGGGTCAGGGGTCTCAAACTGGTTCCAGAAAGAGCCGGTGTGGCCGCAGGATTTCGTTCCAACCAAGTAGGAGCACACAAGACTCCACCCATTTCCTCAAGTGAGTCCAGTCTTAACCTGAAGGCGTGAGGAAATGGGTGGAGTTTGCTATGCTTCTGCTTGGTTTGGAATGAAATCCTGCAGTCACACCTGCCCTTTCAGGAACCATTTTGACACCCCTGCTTGGGTTGTTGGATCAAAATGCCTTTCTAAATATATTAATTCAATTCTGCAGTCATTATAGAAATATCCGAGTCTTAAACCCTCTTCTCATTATGTTAAAGTCCATGTAACCTCCAAAAACGAATCATTGATTATACGAATTGAGCTGACAACTACATCATTTTTTGTGATTATTAGTTGTGATTCACGTCACTTGTTGCAGCCTGAGTTGTTTTTCAGAATAAACAAAAACATTACACACCACCTTAAAGATGCATTCCTCAATTGTTCTGATGGTGGCCCTGCTTTTTTTTTTGGATTTCACCAAAATATAGTTCTATCTGGATATTTCAAACTATCCTTTTACATTGGAAACAAGAATGTAACTTTAATATGTTAAGTTACAAGTGATGTCTGTGGAAAGGAAAGGCTTCTCATCGCAAAAATAATTGAGGAATGTACGCATTTTAAACCAAACTTGAGTAAGGTCTTATCCATCGCAAGAAGCAGGTACAAGACAGTCGAGGAAAGCAACTTTAAAAATTCACATTAGTCACTGATAATGGTCTCAGATATGAAAACGATAAATGCATCAAAAGTAGAGTCTTTATTGATGAGTGGGTAAAAGAACCACCTCTGGTAAACTGTACAGATACAGAATTTCATCTTGCAAAGAATGCCAGATGTAAAAATGATAAACCCCAATTCACGTTTCAGTCCTCCTGCCCTGTGTCAACATCTGTACAAACTGTAACCTCCAGGTCCCCTCCATGAAATGCAGTGGAATTCATGCTAATAAAGTAACATGTGTGTCCATAATTGAGGGGGAAAATCACCGGTAAAATTACCTGTGTCAAATTCACCGTTTGGAGTTGTAATTTAGAAGTAACTTGGAAATCAAATGTTTTTGAGTGATCCACGAAGCAAAAAGTTGTTGTTTGTTGCTGGCAAGTTTCAGAGGGCCGAGTAACATTCAAGTTTCCATCTCAATAAGTTCCACTATTGGTATTTTGTTAAGAGCATATAGCGTTACAACATTCTCAAAATCATCTTTTCCCTATAAATGTTCTTTTTACTATGGTATTCTGCGTCATCCCTAAGAATTACATTGTGTGATCTGTTAAGTATTTTCTAATTGTCTCCTTAGTCCGTATGCAGTCCTTCGCTTGCTTGATTCATTTTGGTTACAAATCGTTTCAGCAATATCTTTTTTTTTCTTTATAAGACTGCTTGGTTTTGCGCAGTTTGGAGACTTCATGCTGCTTTCATATTGAATTACTATTATTGAAATCTATCCTATTCATCTTTCTCTCCCCTGTCTCCCAACGTTTCCTTCACACACACGCACACACACACACACACACTTACACACGAATGATATATAAAAACACACAAGCAGGAATACAGATATCCCCGTACAGTCTATACAATATGAAATCAAGTCATATTTCAAAATAGTTTCATCTGCTTAACATGTATAGTTTACAAATAAAGGAAAAACAGGCATTTTTTTATGATACAAAGAAACCTGACACGCCCTAAATCAAGTTCGAAAAATCAAGCATGTTCAAGGCTCCGCTATTTAACTTATCCAACATTATTGGGTTCATTCATTAGTTTTAGCCTCCTGTGAAACGGATGAAAAGGCGTACAGGTGGTCAGCCGATCCACTCTGCTCCTCAAAGTTCTGGGCGTTTCAGAGTTATAGATCATCACTTTCTTTCAAAGTCTAGATAGTTTTTATCATGAAAGATTTCAACTTTGTGTGTCTCTTCGGTGCCTGGTGCGGCACTAATGGATAGTTGGTGGAAAGCTTTAGGGCATGTCCCTCGGAAATAAGGCAACATTATTTGAAATGGCATCTGTTACACTTAACTCTAGTGGTGATTGTGGTTACTTGTACAGTACATCTTCAGAAATACAAGCCATTAAAGTGGTACCAGGAGGTTTCTGTTGCCCTATCAAAACTTGCGCCTGAGGGCAACCTTATTCAAATTCAACATTCTTGATAAAATGGCACAGTGCCTGCATTTGTTGGAAAAATGTGATTTTGTTGTGCAAACAACAAAACAGACACTATCACCAAGGTGCATTATATCTCCTCACCTCCAGTAAACCTGAACATTCTCCTTGTGTCTGCTCACAGAACCACAGGTGATCACATGACTTTATCACATGATGCAGTAGGCCTCGTCTTGGGGCAGGTGTTGTTTAGTCCTCCAGTATGTGGGCAGGTGCGCTCGCAGCACCTTCCTTAGATCCTCATTGAGCAGGAGGCAGAAGATGGGGTTTACCCCCGCCTGGGCAAAGCTCATCCACACTGTGATGGATAGGTACTTGTGTGGGATGGAGCAGGACTTGACAAAGACCCTCCAGAAGCAGGCGATGATGTAAGGAGCCCAGAGCACCAGAAAGAGCAGGGTAATGGTGTAGAACATCCTGCCCAGCCTCCGCTCTGACCGCACCTCCTCCATCCCCAGCAGCCGACGGTGCTGATTATGAAGGTTCTGCCTAATGCCCAGCAGAGTGGGCGGCATGGGGCCACGACCAAACCCTGCAATCCAGTTTGCTGCAGCCTGTCCGGTGGCCCCCGGTCCATGGAAGGTCCAGTTCTGACTGATGGCTGGCACCAGCTGAACAGGCTTCATTTTCCGGTGTCTGTACTCGAACAGGAGCAGCTTAGCGTAGAAGCCATGTGTGGCCAGGACCACCACAGCCAGCATGAGCATGAAGCCCAGGGTGTCGTTGGTCTTCAGATAGCGGTGTTCAAAAATGCACTGGTCTTCATCACGGATGAACTTGTATGTTCCTACGTCAAAGACAGGTGGGAACGCCATGGCGACCGCCAGAGTCCAAACCATGCAGATAATGGCAGCACAGGTCCAGATGGTCATGCGCTTGGCATAAAACCTATGGTGGGCAATGGCAAGGTAGCGGGTGACGGCCACACAGAACAGCATGAAGGCAGCATGAAAACAAAAGAGCACAGCCATAAAAGCCACAACTTTGCAACTCAAGGCACTGTAAGTCCAGGCCGAGCTGTTGTGGACCGACACCAGCACGAAGGGGAAGCAGGCAGCAGAGCGCACTGCATCGGCCAGGCACAGGTCCAACAGGAAGAAGTATGGGGCCTTGTGAAGTGTCCTGTCCCGGAGCACCAGCAGGGACACCAGGAGGTTACCCACCAGACTGACACAGATTATCAGGCCTAAAAAGACCAGCTTAAAGTAGGCAGACACGTCTGTGGCAGAGATTCCAGTGTTGCTGCTGCTGTCACTGCTGCTGCCTCCTCTGGCCAGTCCACTCTGAGAGGCCAGCACAGCCAGCAGGCTTCCAGGGCCATCTATGGCAAAGCTCTGGTTAGCCATACTGTTGCCTCCGCCAGAGCCTGGGACTGTGGTCCTTCACGAGCACTAGTAATCCTCCCACAGCCGTCTCCCACGGCTCCCTGGACTTTACAAACAGAGGCCCGATTGCTCTCTTCTACACGACACAATCATCTCTCCTCTTTGTCCACATCACCTGTGAACACAGACACACATCATGATGACAGCTCATGAGTCTGGTTTGTTACATTCTCAACAGTGTGGTGAATGAGCAACAGTCTGAAGGGTGGATACAGAAGTGCTGTGTCGGGAAACACTGGAAAATCTGTGCTGTCCTGTTCCTCTAGGCTGGGATCAGATCAGCAGCTCTACAGCATGCCAGCTCCTTGGCTCTCTCAGTAATTACCTTGCCCGTTGCTAAGATACACCAGCTCACATACTTTGTGCGAGTGTGGGTGTTTGAGTGAATGCATGGGGGTGTACAGGGATGGAGCAGACAGTACGACCAGCGCTGCCCATGTCCAACAAACAGGCTGGTTGGAATGGAGAATTGACATTTGATGGTTTTCCTGCTGCGTGTCCGGCTGTGCTGCTGACTGCTTCAGAGCAGATGTTATGTGAAATCTTCTAACAAATGTGAGAATGTAATGGCAGGGCAGGCAGCCATTTAGATGTGACTTTAGGCCTGACGACAGGGGGAGAAGCATTGAACTGAAGAAGGAAAATTGAGCATTTTAAAGTGTGCCGTGGACACGCATCCTCAGATCACCTCCTTTTCATCAGAGATGAAAAGAGATGGTTTTTATTCCAGCGACACAAAACTGAAATTGATGCAGCCTCACCCAAACCCAATTCACTAGCACAAGGCAATAATAATAATATAGGAGCAGAGTGCCGCTCGCCAGGGTGGGCCTGGCCTATATGTAGGCCACGAAACAGAATCATTAGATTTTACCGAGTGCTTTTTGTTCCATACAGCTCTGTGGCACCTTGACAAACATCATTCAAGATTAGACGCTGGTGTATCAGCTAGGCCTATAACAGCCTTCCGAGTGAAGACAAAAACAGACGAACAGGTGTCAAAATCCTTTTCGTCGGGTTTTTGAGGCTATGAGATGCGATTGCGATTGACCGGTGGGGATGGGATAACATACCTCACATTTATGGAGCTGCTCTTGATCTTCTACCGCCGTTAAAAAACACCCAAACGCTCCTCTTCGCTCAGTGTCACTGTTCTTTAGGCGGAAATCAAAACACATAATAAAGCCGTATGCAGTGGCCGTGCTCTTAAACACCTGTTATGCATAAAGCCAGGGCGAGAGAGCCACATATCATCAGCATAATAGGTTACATGCGATGTGATCATCAACAGCTGATCAAACAGAGGACGGGGATGCTGTCGTGAAGACACATTAAGATACAGAGGGGAAAAATCCACTGCCACCCTTTGCCGTTTCACAGGGATGTGTTCATTTGGTCCAGAAAACAGGTTTTTGTTGCACCACGTCTAGAAAAGCTCTCCATTCATGCCCTAGAACACGACAACTCCTTCTCTTCATCTATTCCAAATGATGTCCGTTTTTCAGCGCGTATAACAACCCACCCACAAAGGTTTGAGAGGAAAAAACACATCGCGCATCCCCTTAAATGAATCGTCTTGCCGTGGATCCTGTGGCATCAGAACAATTAGTCCACACAGACAGCCTCGATCTCATCTTTCAGTCCAAAAAGGTGACTGTCCCATCTACATCTCCTAATATGCAGTCTTTGTTTTGCTGTCCAACGAAGGAGAACTGTATCTTAATAGTCCACGATAAAAGGGGGGACATTTTGGACAAATCCAGCGATGTCACGAAAGGCATTCACATCGTAGACGCCGTCGAAAAACAACACGCACACGCACAGATGTAGCCAGAGAGCGGGTGCGCCGTAAAACAAGGCAGATGGGTTAGGGCGAATTATTCCTGAATAATCCCAATTATGGCTGCTTGCAAGGAGGCAGCTCGAGCGCGCGTTCGGGAGCGCTCGGCTTTTCTCGGAAAGCGCACGGACAAGGATGGAGGGAGGAGGGAGAAGGAGGATGAGAGAGGGAGGGAAGGGGAGACGGTGCAGCGAGCCGGACATAACTTCAAAGTGGTATTTTATGCCAGCTGCTCGCTCTCATGCATGGTACTGACTTTTATTCAACACAGGGATGCTGAAAGGACCTATGCGCCGGACTTTGGTTTTAATGACCTTCCGCTGCAGGCGTCAAGACCTCCGCTAATATCCCCGCGATAAATGCGCACTGGTCTATCCTGAACATAACGGGATATTCTAAGTTATTAACAAGGCGTGTAGGCAAATGTTAAAACTATTCCATTCGTATATAGCTTCTGCTGATGAAAATTCTAAACTAAGTATTCATTATTAGCGCTATTATAATTATATACTGTTGATTCTCTGTTCTGTTGTTGAGGAATCGAAAACATTGTAAAGTCCTCCAAGATGACTGCAGTTATGATTTAGGGCTGTACAAAAATAAATTGAACTGAATTGAACCCCATTTAAATGCTCCTCATTCCTACTGTTCTGTAACTTGTGATGCAACACTGACATTTCCCCACTGTGGGACCAATAGTATCTCTCTTAGATTCTCTCAGAAGACATGGCCTGTGCATTAAACCTCAATAGCACAACTGCATTTAATTTCCTCGTGGTGGTTTAGCTTTTGTTTCTGCTCCTAGGCCAAGCAAAAGGTTACATTTTTAGAAGTTGAAAGAAAAATGTGTTGAACTAAATGTTGAAAAAGAGAAGTGATCACAAACTCACCACAAACGGCATTTTATTCTTATGTCTAAAAGTCATTTCTACTGGGCGACATCATACACATGTTTTTTTGATTATAGTCACCTCTTCTATAGACACCATTTTGAGAAAACAATGTGACCATATCATGTGAATTGTTCCAGGACAAGAGATAAAGTATGAATATTTGACAGTTACCATATAGTTACCCAAAGGAATATTTCAGCTGCCCTCCACCACAATGTTGAACTACAGGCTCTTTGAAATATTATGATGTCAAATGAACGCTAATTAGCTAGAGGAACATAAACTATTAGAGGTCACCGATGTGGAGTCATTATGCATGAGGACTATACATTATTTTTTGCCTGGGCTGGCTGATCATACGCGATTATGAACACATGGCTCTTGCTGATATTGCCACGCCATAATCCACTTATTTTCAGCTATAATGTTATGATTCTGTTTTGTCAAAATTACAAATGCATGTTTCCCTAGCAACCCGTGCTTTTTGTCTTCCTCGTTCATGTTCTGAGCGATGTGAAAACCTAATCACAAGGCAAGGCAAGGCAAGGCAAGTTTATTTATATAGCACAATTCATACACAAGGCAATTCAAAGTGCTGAACAAAACAAGAAAGCATTAAAATCATAAATAATCACAGAACATTAAAAAGAAAGCTAAAAGTATAAAATTTCTTAGTTGTATGCACAGCTAAACAGAACTGTCTTTAACCTGGTTTTAAACATTGTCATTGAGGAGGCCTGTCTCACATCTTCAGGAAGACTGTTCCAGATTTTAGCAGCATGAATCTGAAAAGCAGCCTCCCCATGTTTAGTTCTGACTCTGGGCACTAACAGGAGTCCAGTCCCTATCACAGTGTAATGACAAAGGTATTACATCAGTGCACATGATGTTATTCATTCATTCACTCATGTGGGGATTAACTACCACTGTAGCCACCACAAACCATTCAGGTACTCTCCAGACTCATTCTAGGCAACGTGAGTGAAGTGTCTTGCCTAAGGACACAACATACAACTGATTTGTATGTGTACTATTTTTACTGAATGTTTATATTGTGAAGCAGTGCCTTTCCAGGTCTGTGAAAGGGACTTTCCTTACTTACTTACCTAACAACAATACTTTTATACAGTGGAACCTGTTCCCAGAGGTCACCCATCACAGTCGTTACCAGACCCTGCTCTACTTAGCTTCAGAGGTCTGAAGGGATCTGGCTTTCACATGTAAAAACTGTTCAGAAATAATGTGATTTTGGTTTGAAAGTGGAATATTATTGAAATAAAGTGAAATGTATAAGATCTATTTTTATATACAATAATCCCCGGCCCCAGCGAATAGCAACCAATTATTTTTTTTATCAAGCTACAAACTTATTTACATCTGAGTTAAATCCCCATGTCACAAAACCACCATGAAAAACTACTCATTTATTTCAAATTGTTTATTTGTAATCTTGAAACATCCAGATAATCTTTGGCGTCTCTCAAAGTAAATGTAGTTTTTTTAAATTCAGTTTCAACATCATACATGAGGTTTCATTTGAATGCAGCAAATTTTACTTTTACCTCAATACATGTAAGACTTTGCCACAGTCGTTAACATGACGTGTCTTTAGGCTTTTATCTCGGCGGTCGTCAGGGCTACTGTAGGTCTTTCAATCAGTTCTTGGGGGCAAAAAACAAAGAAATATGACTTTGTATTATTCTTGTATTGTTTCATCACTTCAGTCCCTTGTTAATGTTGTAGTCCGCATGGGAAGACATAATCCAGAGAAGTGGCCGAGGCTCTGGCAGTGTACACATGGCAGTAAGGCATTTCATTCCCTTAACACTGTATATGTAAACAAAGTACTGTGTGTAAAGATGAGGTTGTTTAAGAGTTTTACAGAAATATAGAATACACAAGGATTTATACAGAAACAATGAATTAGGATTGTTCTAGAATTGTTCTAAAGTACAGCCTATTACAGATACATTACAGTAGAACAGAATGATCCACCTGACTCACTGAGAGTTGTGCACATAGTTGGTGATCACAGTGGAACACGCTACAACAACCTGTACAGTTCATGTGATTGAGGATTTTAAGGTTCTTTTAAAACAAAGAGTGTAAAGAAGGTAGTACTGCTTCATTAGCTGACATGTTTCAGTGATTGACATGAAGCTAAAGCGCAAATTCAGACTTGAAGACTGTAAGAACTGAGCTCACAGAGTTCAAAGCCGTCCCACTCTTGCTTCACGGCAACAGCAATGAGTCAATCACACCCGCATCAAGCTTCACGCCGCAACCCTCCTCCTCCCCATCTCTGCCTTGTCCCAGGCCAGCTCTTTCATCCTTCTCCTAGCTCCCACCACCATCTCATAATCTCTTTCCCCAATCGTTCAGTGTTCTGCCAGGATCTAAGCGCCAAATCTTATAACAACGTTTCTGTACAGGACAATAAATGTAATCTGGGAAATATTGTCCTCACAGTGTGTAATGTGTAATTTATGTAGTGTCGGATAGCTTGCCAACCAATGTACAATTCTATAATAATACCCATGTTTTGCTGTTGTTGGCAGATGCGGTCAGTTTGAAAGATCCATCAGACCGACCACGCCATCCCCCCTTGCGCTGTGGTCTCTGGAGAAGTGAGTCCCATGTGTGAGCCAAGGAGAAGGCCCCCTCATCTCCGTTGATGGTCCGGATCTGCCTAATCTACCAAAGTGGCCGCCTCCCTTACTAGCTTCTTTACACTCTTTGACTGAGTAAAATAACCTTCTAAGCCTTTTACATAAAGACATAATTAACTTTTTTACATCATCTTTTCTTCATATGACTGCTGCTGAAGTATAGTATAGTAACACAACAACTGATAAAATATATTTTTCTATGGGTTTATCCTGTTTATCCTGGGATTGTGACAAGGCACTTTGACGGAGGAAGAATCACATGAGATGCAAAATGAGAAAGAGTCCAAAGAGGAGCAGGGTGTTGGGCTCTTGTAACACAACAGACACTGAGACCAGAGCACTCACAAAGAGAAAGGCCGACCTCAGACTCCTGTGCACACCAAGAGCCTGACGATCTGGTCCACAGGTCATGGCCTTGTTGCTTTCAGAGCTGGGGCACACCTCATCATCCACACAGTTCTCCTGCTGCTGATGGAGCTCTTTCCTTTCACTATCCCCAGACTGAGGAGAGGAGCGGCCATTGTACTGTTCCTCTAACAAGCACGCCACAGGAGGGATGGAGGTGGACTGGCTGATTTCTGGCTGTGTATTTCTAGTTGTACTTGGTGCTTCACTGGCCTGGAGTAAACGGGGGGAGCTTGTCTGAGGGGAGATTGAAGAGGGTTGTGCAGTAAAGCAGTGACTGGATTCTACCCCGGCAATAGATAGCAGTTTTCCGGCGAGTGGAGTGGGGTATGGGAGAACAGCAATCTGATGAAGAAAAAGGACAGTGACAGAGTGAGAGAGAATAAGTGAAAAGGCGACATGAGGAGTGTGTACTTGAAGAATGATGTTATGTAGCGTGTACAAGCAAGAACTTTATAATGCATACTGACATCTTAACACTATAGGACTCCCAGTGCTCCCATTCAAATCAATGGAATTATGCAAAGTTAGTAAGTTTACCATCAGTTTTATTAAAAAGTACCTTTACTCACTCTTAATTAGTGCAAAAACTGGTGAATATAAATTGAAATACAGAAAAATAAAACATTTAGGCTAAATACTAACTGGTAGCAAGTTAATAGTGTGTTGCTATGGTAACTTCAACTTGCTCTTCTCTACTCTAATTCATTATTTAATAGAGAAATGACATAGAAACTATGTAAAGAAAGAGAAAAAGTCACAAAGTTAGGAAGATCAAAATTCTACATGAGCTGAGTATTTACACTTCCAAAACTAAAAGCCGTCAAATTGACTGCAGCAGGACTTCTACTGTTAAAGAAACTGAAAACAGAACGACACTTTTTGAGTAATGTTCCCTTGTTGATTATATTCTGAGTTTGTACATTTGAAAATACGGTACAGTTACGTTGTGTATTATGTCTGTCTTCTTAACAATCACAAAATCAATATTGTCCTTCCTTCTGGCATGCCATTGGTTAGTCTGAATGCTGACAAAGCCTGTGTTCCACCAATGAGCATAGACGGGAGCGTGTGATGGTGTGAGGTGAACGGAGGATAGAAAGTTAGTGCCAACAATGACTTACACTCTGCGTGGAGCTATGGTGCCAGACATTACCTAAGTTGTTGCTGAGGCTTCAATGAGCTGTGAACAAAACAAGCCAATGGTGAAAGCAGAAAATGGTGAAAAGTTAGGCTTTATTAGACAGTCTATGGAGTTTAGCTTAGTTTTATATGATGGGTAAAAGGCATGTACAGGGGACGTATTTATAAATCCTTAAAATAATTCAAATCATATTATTTAATGAGATTATGGCAAATGGTTAGAGATGGATTTTTACCTCTACATCGAGTTCTGGCTGGAAGATGACAGGACAGGTGGGAATAGGTCGAACCAATCTAGATGGAATGGGATCTTCTTGTTCTTCTGCAAACATGGGTGTTTAGTAGATTGGTTATACAGTATGTAATGTATATATGAAAGCAAAATACAAACTTGCATGAAAAAAATGCATGGCAATACTTTACCTTCATCTTCCAGTTCAAACTCTATCTCTTGCCTGAAGAAGGATTGGAGAGAAAAGTTAAGTTATGCAGCTAAAATCCAGGTTTATATCAGTCCTGTTTAGCTGTGCATACAACTCTTTTAAATGTACTGTGATTATTTATGATTTTAATGTCTTGTGTGATTATAATATTTATGATTTTAATGTCTTGTGTGATTATAATATTTATGATTTTAATGCTTATTCTCTTGTTTTGGGTTGGGTTGTTGGTTCATGAACTCTGCCTTTTTTTTGATGATTGATTCACAAAATGCACAGTTTGGTGAGCTATTTTTTCACATATATAGAGCATACACTTAGAGGAGAGAGTAAATGGCAGCTGAAAGGTGAAAGTAAATGGCATTATGAATAATCTGACAAAGACTCTTGATGGAAATGTATTGAGTGCCGTTTCATTTATTTTTAATAGGAAAATTCAAGAAGACTAGTCTGTGGTTTTAGGTACCATTTTCTACACAGTACAGTTTGCGTTGAATCCACCGTACAAGCTCCGTTTGAACTAAAGGCTAACATGTCTATCTGTGATAAAGGTCAGAGGTGCATTTTACTGCAGGGAAATGCCACCACTGAAAATGACACCTGCCCTTTCCTTGTTTTGATCAGGCACCAAACACAGGCCGATGATTGGCACTCTAAAAGGGGTGTGTGCCCTCTAAAACTGTCTCATGCCCATCAAGCACGGCAACGTCATGGTCATAAATACAAAACCCACTGACCCATGCATGGTCTTTCAGCACACAACAGCTGCTGAATCTTTTCCTTACTTTGCTTCACTTGGGACTCGAATACTTGCAGTGTTGAAAAGTGTCTCTAGGCAAAAGCTCAAACCAGATGAATGTCCGCAAGACGTTATTTAGTGCTCGGATACTGAATTAAAGTACAATGATTGCATGATGCACTTCAGGTGAAACTCAAAAAGTTAGACTATTGTTCAAAAGTAAATTCATTTCTGAAATTTAACCTAAAACGTGTAATCCAGGGGCGGGCTGGTCGGACCACTGCCAACCCCTCTCACCCTGCACGTGGGCTATTTGAACCACTTCCCTCTGGCAGAACGCTATGATCCAACTAGACCAGAACCTCCTGCAATTGGACTCATTAACACCTCATAACTCATCACTTGATCCTGGCCCTTTAAAATTGTCACTTTGTACATATGTCACTGTATACTTATGTCACTTTTTAACCTCATACCTCTAGTCACTTATCCATGATCTGTATTTTTAAATATCTATTGTGTGTATTTAGGAATATATTAAGATTTTGTGTATGCATGCCTTTATATCATGTTTTCCTTTGTTATTACTTGTTTGCACATGAGCCAAAGCAAATTCCTAGTTTGTGACTTCCTGTTACATACAATGGCAATACAAAAATATCTAATTCAGACATAGACTCATTCGTACCAAGCCTCACTCTGCGTGTAATAAGTCTCATATACTAGTTTCACAAGCTGAATTACTGAAGTGACTGGACTTTTGAACAATATTCTAATGCTCTGAGCTTCATCATAATATTTACTGCTCAAAACATGCTTATTGTACCTGTGCATTTTGTGGGGCTTCAGGATACTTCTTACATTTCTAATATACATTTCTTTTTCAGAGGATGTGTCTTCATAGGAGACAAGAAGCGTCACCACATAGTTCATCTTGGAGTTATTGGCCCAGTAGTCTCCCTCTGAGGTCTCATAACGAACTACGAACTCTATGCGAGAGCCATGTGTGGTGTAAGGTGATGCAAAACATAATTTAAAGCAGAACTTGTCCGTCTCTCCATCATGGGACCCTGGCTCATAGTCTGCAGGGTGGTCATAGTAGGAGGTCCAGCTGTCCATGGTGGACCTAATGTACACTGCTTTGTTGAAAGATATATTCAAAACTCTAATAACTCCACAAAAGGCCAGGGGCTCATTCTCTACAGCTGAGATGTCTTCCACCTCCACTTTGTTGGAGCGAACCGCCTGCAGCAGGGCACCGTCACTGGGCATGCAGAACTCTGGATGCACGCAGTAGATAGGCGTTTGTTGCGCTTGTCTATACTTCGCCTCCTCTTCCTCCCATTTCGCGCTGTCCTCATCCTCAGAGTCAAAAGCAGTAAATTCTTTGACATCTACAAGGTCACCTCCAGTGGTGTCTGCGAAAGACACGCGTTTCCCCCCGGACAGGGCCTGCTGGATGCGCATATACTCCGCTGTTTCGTCTGCGATGGACGAGCCTCTCTTGCGGGGGATCGGGGAGCACCGAGGGATGAGGCGCACCTCGGTCTCATCTTCATCATCGTCGTCTTCTTCATCTGTGGGCTTCGCATTCTTAACAGCAGTGAACAGGTTCTCTTGACTGGGGATGCTTAAAAAAGACATTTCAGAAGCTGCTGGCACGTTCTATGGCGTCTCACAGAAAGCAGACGTTACGCACAGCACGTAAAGGCCTGGATGTCCTTCTCCAGAACTTGATGTAAGCGCGTGCTCTTGTGTTTTCTAATCCAGAATAGTTTAGAGCCTGCAAACTGCCTTCAACGGCGAAACCAGCAGCCTAATTTTAGCAGTGACCTACAGACTCCTGTCCCACATTTGTCTTTGGTATGATCCTATGACTCCCCCGTGTTCGGCTTGGTTCTGGCTGCAAATGACACTTGGGTCCTTGGTCCATTGTAGGCTACACCTGATCATCCGGGAACATTCATCCCTTTAATATGACACGCACATATCTAGGCCTATTAGCAAAAACGGGTCACGGCAACAAACGAATGTTTTTATAATATTAAATTTTCTCACATAAGATATCGTCCGATTCTTGTGTGCAAAACATTTCAAACCTAAACATAGTGTGTTTGATATCTATTATTTTATACATAGTGTTTTTACAGGTGAAATACAATAATAAAATAATCACAATTACATTTCAATAATTGATTTTTCTGTGCTGCTTTAACAGTAGCTTTTATATATGTATAGTTCTTTCACCCTGGTCTGTCCTTATTTTGGGATTACAGTAGATCCTAATCTCGCGTCAGGCCGCAGGAGAGCGCGCGCGGCCGTGGATTGGTTAGGAGGTTTTTAGCGCGTCGCTGCAGCCAATCAGAACATTGTTTTTCTTTCAGTCCGTAGCACGAACCGTGAGCTACTACAGCTAATACTTTTTTGCTACACACCGTGCAGTTATCTCAGGGCATCACAGCAGAGACACATCCACGTTATACCTTTGTTTTGGCGCATTTCTGAGTGGAATTATGACTGCGTCCGACTTCGGTGACACACGCTCGCTCTGGGATACGTAAGCCATTTTAGCTCTGGATTTAGCATTGTGTTGCTAGTTATTGACATCACGCAATAAGGCCTGGTAGAAATGCAAGCTCTTCCTGGTTAACGTATTGGACGAGTGTTTACGCAGAACAACGGCATAAGTGGTTTTCCTGGTTTGAGGTCGCAAACACCGTGTTGCACAAAAGTGTACAGGCTACCTAGCTTGTTAGCCGAATTGTTAGCATGAGTGAGGCGACGGACTGTGGAGCGTCCGCGGACTCTGCCTCACGGAAACGATGCCCATCACCGGGGACAGACGACGTGCCGTGCAAGATCCGTAAAGAAAGCGAGCACGGAGCCCCGGAGTTGACCACGGAGGGAACCACGGAGAATGGGAAAAACAGTGCGTCGGACTGTAAAGATGCGGATGGAAATGAATGCAATAATGATAAAGCTGTAGTAGAGAGTGGAGCGGACACTTGTGCACAGACTGTCCTGGATGCAAAAGCAGAGAGACCGGAGGACAAGAACGGTGACAAACCAGAGAGTGCACAAGAGAAAAAACAAGACAAATCCATTACCCCTTTACATCAGCTGGAGTCTGCTGCCATAGCTGCTGCTGAGGCACTTGCCAGTCTCACAGGCAGAGACAAGGGGGGCAACCAGGAGGCAGCTTGCTCCTCAGAAAAAGGGAAACACATGAAACAGATGAGCAAGTCTAAAGTGCGTGGGACCTCCAAAACTCAAGCAGCAGCCGCAGACAGCTCCACGACTAAAGAGGACGCTGAGGATGATGGAGAGGCTGATGAGACTGACGAATCAGTGTCAGGGTCTTCCTCCACCCCCAACTCCTCTTTTGCTTCTGAAAAGGAGGAGAATGAAGACGGGGAGTGCGCCATCGTGTCTGTGAAGATGGCTCCAGAGATGAGGCAGACAGTCACTCTTTTGGCTCAGGTTCAGATGAAGTTGGAGGCTTTGGAGAGGAAGAGCGCGCGGCTTCACCAGCGCCTGGACGTCAAGATAAACCGCCTCAGACGCCCTCATCTAGACCAGCGCAGCACCATCGCCAAGACCATTCCTGGCTTTTGGGTCACAGCTGTATCCTTTCAAATTGTCTCACGTTGAATGTTTTTAATGTAAATGCCGTGAATTATTTATCTTTGACCAATCTATCAGCTGTTGAATCATCCGCATCTATCTGCTCATATTGATGAAACTGATGAGGATGCTTTGAGCTACATGACAGACTTGGAGGTGAGGCTGTTTCTAGTGAACTGTACTCTTTCATAGTGTGTCATTTGCTTTTACGAGCAGTTTTGCCTTCTCTAAATGATTATAATGCTTACATTTCATATAGTGCTTTTTTGACACTTAAAGACACTTCACATAGTGGTGACAAACTACAACTGTACCCACAGCTGCCCTGGGGCACACTGACAGAAGTGAGGCATCAGTATGTGCCATGAACCCCTCTGACCACCAACCATTTACACACACGACCCACCAGACTCTTTCTAGGCAATGTAGGGGAATCAAACCTGTAATGTTCCCTGTTTGTCTAAATAATGAGGGCTCCAACCAGGTTCATTTGGTCTTCTAGTTAAGATCACTTCAAATTGCTAGTGTCAAACAGTCCTGTATTGTTTTTGTTGCATTCTTAATGTAGGCCTGAATAAGAGTGTTTAAAGAGGGTTAAACTGCGCCTTTTACTGTATTGGGTTTATCTTCTTCTTTCATGCAACATTTTTAAGATTTGTATTTCACTTTCATAAAGTGTTCACAATGATCACTACGAGGGATGGGCGGTCTATGGGAAGAAATATACATTTTCTTATAGATATATCTCTGTTCAAATACTTGCCACAAGTCTGTGTTTTTTGCCACAGCCCTAGACAGAGCAACAGTCCTAATTTTCTGCTGTTCTGAAACTACAGGCACTAAGTTATTTTCTAGGCCAGAGTGTTTGTTTTGACTGTTGACCGTTTTGGACGGCTGCTTGCCCTCAGGTGCAAGCAGCCGTCCAAAACAGTCACAGTCAAATTGGTCAGGAAAAAACATTTTAGATAAGATAAACCTTTTATGTCCTCAGTGGCTACATTTTAATGTCTTAGTTGCGCACATTACAGCAGAATACAATTGGAATTAAGAGCACTCAGGTTATGCACACATTATTTAAGATTATAGATTAAAAATAGTATATATTATAGAGTTCTTATAAAATCTCTCAGAAGACCAAATGAACCATGTTGAGCAGGCAGATTCACCAGAAAAGTAAAAATTCTAGTACCCTATGGAAACTAACTATATTATGTATTTTTTTCTCCCCCAGATTGAGGCAATCAAAAATGGCAAGCTGGGTTATAGGATTCGGTTTCACTTCAGAAGGAATCCATATTTTCAGAACAATATCATCATGAAAGAGCTTCACCTGGACCTGGGACTAGTAGGAGGTAAGCGCTCCACACTCAGCAGTCCCTGCAGTACGCTGCATTTAAAATACAGCATGAGTTAGACTATGTTTTACTCTGCAGGAACTCCCATATCGTACTCTAACCCCATCCTGTGGCATCGTGGCCACAACCTGACCACCCACAGCGAGCCCAAGAAGACCGGGCGAGGTGTCTACCAGACCTTCTTCAACTGGTTCAGTGACCACAGCAACCCAGCACAGGACGATGTAGCACAGGTACAACGGCTGGCTCAGGCGTTTCACCAGAAAGTCTTATTTTATTTTGTATTTTTCAACTTTATTTATTGAAATTTTTTACATGAATAGATATACAGCATTTGATTATGTCAAAAAAACTGAACGAAAATAAAAATAACGCCAAATGTCAATCCCAGTGAACGCCCACCCCTCACTCGGGCAGTAGACTTTAAAAAAAAATAAAAATAAATAAATACAAACAGGCACTCGGTCACATAAACACAAAGGGAAACATTATGAATTCAAGTGGATAAACAAATAACCTATTCAAAAAAAGTCTATTTTCAACATGTGTTTTTGTCTTTTTTTAGATTCTGAAGGATGACTTGTTCAGAGACCCTTTGAGATACTACCTCACACCGCTGTGGGAGCCCAGGGAGAACGGAGGGTACGACAAATGCTCCATCTGTGTGTCTTTTCTGACCTGGTCCCACAGGGTTTTAAACCAGGCCGACTGCTTTTAACGCTTCCTTTATGTTCAGTTTGTTAATGCTTTAAACACACCACCAGTTAAACAACTTAATTACTACTTTAAGCATGCATTAATGTATCGTGTGATTAATGCAGTTGGAAGGAGATTTGACTGATTATGTTTCAGGAAATTAGTAATGCAATCAAGTTTTATAATGAGACAAAATGTTAAAAGTTCCCGTTTACAAGTAAAACTATATACAATACTGTACCGTGTTTTTTGCACTATTAAGCAAACATAAAAGCCTTTAATTTCAACAGGGAGCCTTAAAGTGCGAGAAATACGGTACTTGATACTGCCTCATTAAAAGCAGTCACAAGCCTTTGTCATAATGTTAATAACCATGCCTTACCATTTGTATTAAAAAAAAGTGTTTTACAAGCTGTGTGCCAATTATCAACATCTCACTGTTTAATGGGGTGTCATAGATTAGTTTCACAAGTTGAACCACAGAATTAAATTGACTTCTGCACAATATTCTTATAAGTTTCCTCTGTACTATGCGCCTCTACAGTTATGTTTTTATTATTACTGAGTGGTGATCAGAGCCCTGTGTTGTGCAGAAGCGCCAGTGGCAGCAGAGGCAACGGCAAAGACGACGGAGACGACTGCGTGGTGATCTCCGACTCTGAGGAGGACCCAGAGAGCGAAGGAGACAGCAGCAGCAGAGGAGACGACCGAGAGGAGCCTGATGATGACGAGGAAGAGCAGGACCAAGACATGAACCCTGCAGCAGGTACAACGCACACTTTCTGCTAGTTTGATCATCATAGTCACCAACTAGACTGAAAGGAAATATCTGTGACTTTCAAAAACAATCATTTGACATCTAGACTGGAACTATTGTCAAAGCCAGTTATAGTTGGTGATCATGACTACTTACGTCAATTGTTTGCTGAATTAAAACGGAAATCTTAAAAAACATTTCGGTGTCCTCAACTTCAACTATGGGCCTCGACTATTCTCTAAGCCAGAACTTGCAGGTGAAGAGACAGTTATTTTTACAGAGCAGTCACACTCCTGAACTCTCTCGCCCTTTTTGATGCACTTTAATGTAATCTAGTATAATTAATACTAGCAATAGCAGCTGTGTACAGTCTCATAGATGCTTATAAATGTATCTGTGTTGTAAATATTATCCTATACTTGCACTATTGCACTACTGGTTAGATGCTAAACTGCATTTTGTTGCATTGTTCTGACTTTGGAATGACAATACATTTTAATCTAATTTAATTCTTATTTTAGGATCCAGACCCACAGAGAAGTCAAAGAGAATGAGTTGTAGTTTAGTGCTGACCAGGACCACATACAAAAAGCTTTCTGTTTCTACATGGCCCGCAGACCATCTGTTACCCTCATGTGTTGGTCTAAGTCGGTCCTCAAAAGCCGGTTTGGCTTCAGGTTTCATTCCAACCAAGCAGTTTTGAACATTTATTAAAACATTTGAAAATATACTGATACACAAACTGCTTTTGTTCACTGCTGTTCGGTGTTCATATACATCTGTGGTTCAGTCTTGTAGCTGAAAAATTGATAATAATAATTGGGAATCGATGACTGAAATGTGACTGCATGAATTTATATATATTTAACCCAAAAATTGTCGTGTTAGGACTTTAAAGTACAAAGATCACCTGAACAAATCTAAACTTATCGTTGCAGATGAGAGCCCAGCAGAGGACGAGGAGGATGAAGCTGGAGAAATAGTAATAGATGGTAAGACTTTTTTTATTTATTTTCTATTTATTTATTTTAGGCAAACAAAGGAGCATCACTAGCCTGGTCGTACCACACCATAGTACAAATGGCATTTCGTACTAAGGTCTGGAGGTGCTCCATTCAGCTCCGTTTACAGGTGGGAGGGGTTAACTCCTTTTGTAGATTGAAACAATTGGATTTTAGTTTACAGTGACGTATGTAATGCACCCGAGTCTGTTGTTAGCATTTAGCCTAGCCATCTCCTTTGCCGCTAACGGAGCCCGTGGGTAGTAGCGCCACAATTTTTTCCAGCGATTACATTTGCTAAACATTACATTTGCTAAACATTACTCTTGCTCCGGCTTCAATTTCTTGATCGAACCAGACTGGATTACTTTACTATCGCATTTTTAACTACAACACCTGCTTCTCTGAATGGTCGGTCGAAATTCAACCGATTGTAATCGCTAACACAGGGACCAGACCCAGACGTTACATGCAGTGAAATGATGATTGAACCGAGTGTACGGATGGCTAAGGCCAGGCTAGAGCATCACAGTTACTATTGTCATAAAAAAACATACCTATAACAAAATCAGAAAAACAATGTGGCCTGAAAGGGAGTGGGAAAAAGTATGTGTGTTTCCGTCTCTAACGCCATTTGTGCTGCTCAGGCTCAGACGACTCGGACGAGGAAGACGCCATGGACATTAAAGGATAAACCTCTTCCGTGATTCGGAGGCGTCACTGAGGGACCACATGAACTATGTAAGGAAATATGCACAAATATTTTTTTCTACCCTGAAATCTACGTTCAAATTCAGGTTTGCGACTTAAGCCAAGCCAAGGTGTTGTGTTCCCCCTCATGTTTTATACATTCTCCAATGTTTTGATAAATTATTTTATGATAATGAGACTTAAGCTCACATTATATAGACCAGTTATTTGTGACCAGTTTGGCGAAGAAGTCTGCTAACCTCAATCAGAAGTTATTTAAGCTTGACGGATTGTTGCCGTCATAAATTTAGGTGCGCCGAGTACCAACCAAATTTGTTCTCAGGGATAATAATGTTTAGAGACTTGTTTTTCCTTTTTCATTTCGCGTCGTGTACTCTACTGTAGTATATGGAAACATGGACTTTTTGTCATGCAACTCCGCAACTTTTACACCCACACCCTGGTTACATCCAAACATGTGCTGATTAAGTAATTATTCACCACTTGTAATTTTGCATTGCTTGCTTTTCGTTTTTACTCTTATTTTTTTGTTACATTATGTTTGTGTGAATAGACATGTTCTATATTTGTGAATTGAGCTGTTTGGTTTTCCGAGGCATCATGGAAGGTCAAACAAGCCACAAATCTTATCAATATACATTTCAAATACAGGAGTGCACTGTATTTTAGTCAATCGATTGCTTTTTCGTTTATCAGTTCCTGGTAACTCACGTTTTAGGCTTTCTGACCTTGATAATCTATGAAATCTTTTTCCTGAACTTGGTTTGGGAAGTAAAATTTTGTGTGATGTTTTTATAGAAAACTGTAGTGGATTATGTTGACATGTTTAGGATAAATCATGTTTCACCTTTTTGACTGATGCTCAATAAATTGGCCAGTTGTTTGACATAATTTGAGTCTTTTCTTTTGGTTTTTCCAACCCTCAAAAATGAACATATGAATCTCACACACGTTTCCTCCACACACCAGTCTGTAATATTTTACTTAAAGATGCTACCAGCAACGTCAATTCTATTTCATTTTCCAAATGTGTAATTCTGGCCAATGGGACACTACTATTATATACAGTAAGTATTTTCAACAATATAACAGTTATCACATCTTTAATAAAAGCTACATGCTAAAACACATCCTTCCTTTCAGGTGTAATACGTTTCAATTTGATGCTCTGACTTTCCTTACTATATTTTTTCATGTTGGATACATTTTCTGTGTAAAGTGCACACTGAAAAAAATTCAGTAGGATATGATTACATGTCTTAATAAATGAGTTATCTTTTGCATCTGTGCAGAATAACTAGTACATATACATATTGCATCCAATACCTTGCATGGCGAATTTAACACTCCTGCTGTGAAAACCTGGGATAGAACCAAACTGTTTTAGAGCCAGGATGAGTTAAAATGATTGAAATATTTTTTTGTGATTTGGTTTGCTAACCCTATATTCAGAATTTTGTTTTATTCTCTTCAATTCCTATGTTCAGCCTGAAGAGGGCAGTGTTGCTATTGCATTGTCAGTGCAGTATTCTCAGTCATTTGCAGCAGCCTTGCCTTTAGCCCTTAATCTTTTTTGTGTGCCATTTAAACAAAACACATTAGTAGACTTTATGTTAAAACTTTGCATGAACCTGTGACTTGTTGACAGAAGCTTTGCCCGTCTCCACTCGAGGAAACTGTCAACGTAAACACTGGAGCCTTAGTGAGATACAGCTGTTCTTTAATGGCTCCTCTCTTTGATATGACAGGGGGGTGTGATATCTCTGACATTTGGGATGTAGCAGGCTGCAAATCGCCCTGGGGGTAAGACATTTTTGGACAGGCCCGGACAAAGAAACGGTGGCAGTGTTGCAATGGTACACCTAAACCCTTTTGATTCCACTTTTAATGCACAACTATAAATATTCCAGAGAATCTCCTGCTGTCGGCTGCTGCAGCGCCCGCGGCATGCAAGCAGGCGAGGATGGACACACTATTAATACTGATGACGAAAGCACATTATTTCTGCAGCTTCCAAAGTGCGTTTACAAGCAGCTTTATTTCAGATTTAACGCAGTTTACCACACGCAAACACCAAATTATGAATTAATAATTACAGCTATTCGTGCAATATTGATAAGGACAGATTTGCCGGGACAAGAAGGCTCCCACTGGGCTGTTTTATGAGCGCTTATTCTGCCTGTGAAGCCTTTGTTTTGTGTGGAGTGGTGGAGGCCTGAATGGATTCCCCTGTGTAAACTCCACTCCCTTAAATTGAGCTAGTGTTGCTACTGTACACAAATCATCTTGTCAGCCTGCGTTCTGCTCTCACATTTAACAAAGGAGGGTCTCTGCAATCTGAAACCCACTAGTATTGTTTAAATCTGACGACATTCGAGAGAGCTCATCCCTCATCTTGTCAAACTTTACACTGAAAAGTAGGTTGTGCATGACAGTTGTAGTAGTACATGAAGTACTTTTGGAGACCGTGGTGATGTACTTGTTGCTTCATGCGTGTGTAGATAGATCATAGTAAAATCATTATATTGTTACTTTGAGCAGAACTGGCTGCATTCATACGTTCATCATACTTTCGCCTACTGTACGTGTAGTATACATATACAAATAGATGTATACAGTACCTACATAAGTAACCTAATAGTTCCTGTCCCATGTATATAATTTACTTTTTTCTGAGGGTCTGGGCAAAAACACAAACTTACTGAGCACTGTGATAGGTATCATGCTTGTAATGTACTCATTTTATTTTTAAATATTTTTTAAATCTAACTTTAGGGCTACTTTCTCATTTTAACAATTTGGTATTAGAGTTTGGAGTGGATGACCTTTGTAGGGCCCCTGTAAGCCTTTGAGCGCCCCCATGTGGACCCTCTAGATCAGGGGTTCCAGGAAGGGCCTGTGTGGCTGCAGGTTATAGTTCTAACCTGAGTAAAAGCAAACCAGACTCCACCCAATTCATCAAATCTTCTGGTGAAAACTTAGTTCCAACGAAATGGGTTGGAACAAAAATCTGCAGCCACACCCCCTGTTTGAGGATTGGTTTGACACCCCTGCTCTAGATATTTAAAGCTTTGAATCTTGTTTGTTCTGTTCTGTGCGCTGCAAATAAAAGGTGATAATTAGGCCATCATAACACATTCTTTGAAAACATAAACAAATAAATCTCACGATATGCATGCACGCCACAGAGAAGTGAAAGCGTCTGCATCCTGTAGTTTTTGTGTGAGGAGAAGAGCAAAAAAAGAAGCAATGTTTCACTAAAGCATTGGCAGCTCCACCAGCGCAAGAGCCAGTGGTCTGACGCTGACTGGACCTGAGACTGAAGCTGTAGACCTTAGACCCGAGGCTGTAGACCCGAGGCTGTAGACCTGAGGCTGTAGACCCGAGGCTGTAGACCCGAGGCTGTAGACCCGAGGCTGAGACTGAGGCTATAGTCCTGAGGCTGAGGCAGTGCAGCTCTGACACTCCCAAACAGCAGATGGATGAGTCTAATCGGGACAGTCACACCTCTGCCTGCGACACGGAGCATGATCACACCAGACAGACGAGCGGCCTGCCCCCCCACTATCACTCACACATGCACTGAGGCAGGCACGGCATGCATAATACTCTAATTAATTTCATTTTGATCTGCAATTCATTCCAAACAATTTATGAATGCCTGAATACAAACTGGAGTAACTATACCTTTTTTTGTTCATAAATACCAGTTTATTTATGTTATATGTTGTCCAAATCAGACCACACCATACTGTCTTCAACTTCTTTTAGACGCTGAGAGCTGATTGGCCGAGTGAGAGTTGGTTCGCTCTCACTAAATATGTTCTAAATAAGTGATAATAAGTGGTAGAACCAAACAGTTTTAAGAGCTGGGAACTATTTACATGGATTTTAGTACATAGTCAATTTACGTTACGTTTTGATGTTGACTCTTATAACATTATTTTCTGACTGAACTACCATAAATACTTTACTCAAATGTTTATAGGAGGATCATCAAGACTAGACTGGTGATTTGCGCTCAAATAAGACCAAATCTGGCTTGAAGACTATTATTGAACATAAAAAAGGCTTTTAGAAAGATGGAATGATCCTTTATGCTAGTTTTCTGGGATTGGGTATTCTTTGGTTCATAAATATCTTGTTTGTCCCAAGAGAGAGAGTGAAATGAACTTACCAAACCACAACACATTTTGTCTTTTGCAATCTTGTAAGAAAGAGCTCTGAGGGTTTCGTCTTTAATATGAAAACAACCAAACTGTCTTTAGAGCTAGGAACTATACATGTATAAGATAGGTACCCCAGCTTTAAATTTAAGGACACTTATTATACAAACCAGTCATTTTTGACCATATTTATGTTAGAAAGTAGTTTCCTCGTCCAAAACAGACCTGCATCCACACCAACACTGTCAGGAACTTCTGGTACAAATCGGAACTAACACGTCCTCCCCTTCTGTCTTAACCCCGTAGGACCCAGACATACAAATATCAAAAAATATATGTGCTATTTTTGTAAAGCAGCTTGGAAGGGGAAAATGGCATTGTAGCACACTTGCGTACTTTGGCACATACATTAAAACCAAACATACTTATTTTGTCATAGCCATTTAACTGTATGTTGCATATTTGTAACTGAGAGAGCTGCAGGATTAATTCTATCTCAAACTTTATATGTTAAATACTGTATATCAAGATTCTATTCAAGGGCCAAATTGAACACTACTACAGCCAAAATAACTCAGATCGCTTCCAACAGTGACATCCGATGGCCCCTAATGAAAACATCACCATTCCTTCTTCGGCTCAGAGGAAGCAGACAGAGGAGAGGCCCACCCCCAGCACCACATCGCACCTCTCCAGAACCTCCGACAGCCAACAGATTGTAGACTTGCCCTTGTTGTCTGTGAGAAATTGAAATTCAACTAAGGCCCAGTGTCTCCGGGCCAGTGTGCGCGGACAGATAAGAAAAATCAATGTGTTT